TTCCCTCTCCCTACTTCGGCTTCTGCGTCTCTCCCTATCGTCGTGATCCCTCTGCTTGTCATCTCTATCTCTCCGTTTGTCTCTGCTGCTTCTCTCTCTCCCGTCCCTTTCAACACCTGTGGACAATTATTATGACAAGGCAGTGACAGATCAATGAAGATACTATCTTACCCAATTCAATCAATTGTTTAACGGTTAAACAGACATTATCTGATCAGCATTCACATAAAAATGATTGAATTTCTCTTCAGCTTGTGGCAGACAGAAAATAAGATATATAAATTGCATAGAAAAGTTCTACAATTTATGCTTGACAGTAAACTTACCTAGCTCCTCAACCTCCCATCCGGCACGACCAGCAGCAACAGTGTGTCCAGCATCAGCTCGATGCGCTTTTGCACGGAATTTCTTCTTCAAATTGCCAAACTCATCGTACATCTCACCATCATCCTGAAATTTTGTAAACCCATAAGGTTAAACTGTAGAACATCATACAAAGATTCTACAGCAGAAGCATATCTTACCTCTGCCTCACGTCGGCGTCGCTTCGTTTCCTCTAATTCTTCTTCATCCAATTCTTTGTAACCACCACCACGCCCTCCCCTAATTAAATAAAGGAACACATTAACTCTACAGAAAGTATTTAAAGATAAAGCAGGTCCAAGAAACTTGCATAAAGATTCTCAAATGTGACATTGACTTGGACAAATTAAACAGTGTAACATGGAGATGTACCATGTCTAACAAAAACATAGATGTAACTACAGTCCGCAAGGAAAGGTTTAAAATGTAGCCCAAAATCTTAGAACTAGACTAAATGAACGAGGGTAATTTGTTTAATTACAACAATAAAAATATAATACTATGATATTCATCCCCTAATATATAAATTATAATAGGCCATGCTCAAGGCAGAAGATCCCGACTTGACACAAGCATAGTACAATTAAACTTCAACCATCTAATAGTGAATTTAAAACCTTAGCTCGTGCTTCCAGGAGAAAAAAAACAAGTAAAAAACCGACACCATTAATGTAATTATTGTAAATTTGTAAATCATACCTCACACCACCTTCATTATGACCAGGTTTATTGGTGTTGCAGATATTACATTTTGCACGCTTAGCCCAATTGATATTGCCACACCTGAAATTTTGAAGCATAAAAACATAAGCAAAAACTATGTGCTCCTGGATTTTTCAAACAAAAAATACATTTGTAACCAAGCACCACCAAATTAATACAATGAACTTTTCACAATATACAGCAGAAGAGCAACAATTAATCAATATGCCCTAGATGTCATCATGTTGAGAAACTCCTCAGGCAAGATAGCAGAAAAACTGAAGCAAGAACTTCAGTTTAATTTTGATACAACACTCGCAACATCAAGTGGAATGCTTACATTGGACAAGACCAATCATTCGGACCAAACAGTCCTGAAGTAGCACTGACTTGCCGGCCAGGGGCCCCAGCATCCGCACCTCCACCTCGGCCCCTTCCACGACCACCAGCCCCCAAGCCACCACCAGATGCACCAGCCGGTCTGGCAGTCCCACAGCGATTACACACACCACGGAACGCAAAATTCACATTTGAACAACTGTCACCATAGAAGAATATCAGACACTGTTGATGTAAGAACTACAAAACTAGAAAGCAGCCAACTGTGTTAACAAGAGCAAGAAGCTGCTCACCGATATCACATCACAGACCTTGTATTTGGGCATAACCAGTCCCCGTCTTGCTGCCATGCTTTCCCTAGAGAATCACCCCGGCCTCTACCCCTTCCAGGACCCCCGTTTGTTTCCTTAGTAGCGGCATCCTCAAATCCACCAAAGTCACTTGATTCTACAGTATCTTTATTCTTTGATTCAGCAATAAAAACTCCAATTATGCTGCCATGGAAATCTTTGTTATTGAACCACTCAACAGCGGCCAAAGCAGCATGTGGATCCTCATAGGTAACTGTAGCATCTCCCTTCGGTTCATTGGTCTCTTTGTCTCGGTAGAACCATATCTTGGGCCTACCAGTACGCTTGTCTCTCTATCAAGCGTAGAGTACAAATGTAAGACATTCACACACTTAAACTATAGATTGCATCTCATTGAGGTCAGATGGAAGCACTAGATAGTACCTGGGCAATACCCTACCTTTAGCAACCCAATGGTGCCAAAATATTCAGCCAACATATCCTCGTCAGTTCCATGTGGGAGATTACAAACGTAGACTGATCCATTTGTTGGAGCCCCTTTCGCCGAATGACCAGCCATTGTCCAATCTCATCAAAACATGTAGTCTGAAAACCTGACATGACATGCCCAAAGTTTCACCAGAAAAACACACCCACGTATACACAGTGACAGAAGTATATCGTCAATTCCAAACCACCATTGGATTTACAATTATCGCGCCTTTTCAACATTAGAAATACTCAAATTTATCTTTTTTCTTTATGCCCTCTTTCCATATTTCAACACAGAGGACCTTACAAATCCGAAATCGATACTCCATTTCAAAACAACAAATCGAAGTATAAACCACAAACTATCCGGTTTCAACATAACAATATCCAGTTTGAGGCACAGGAATTATCACTATCGTCGCGCTGAAACAAACTAAAAAACAAAAACCCTGAATTGACATGAATCCCAGCACAAAAACTAAAGAGATCTCAAATGCAAAATCGATGAGAGCAGATCTGTTCAGTAATTAGCCCATTGAGAAAGAGAAATGATACTAGGGCTTTGTAAAAAATACCTCGAGAACCTGGCGTCAAAGGAAATCTTTCGCCGATTGTCGACGGCTTCTAGGGTTCTTCTTTTTCGAGTCTCTGTTCTCTTTTATTTCTTTGTTTTTTAAACCCTTTTTTACTTTTTTTTTCCTCTGAACACACGCATCTAACAGTCATATAGAGAAAAAAATGAAATATATATATATATATATATATATATATACCAACACATTATAAATATTATTTAATATATTTTAAAAGATAAGCTTTTTGTTGAAATTTAGAGAAACTGGGTCCAAATTTTTAGATAACAATGGTAGATGCCACTGACCAGGAGAATATATACATATATAAAATTATATAGTATTACATAATATTTAGATTTGATTGTTATCTATTTATATTTAATTGAATAAAATATTCAGAAAAAAACTATCATAGATGATAACAGCAGATGTTTATTAATAATATAGGTGTATCGGTCGTGCTTTTAGTGTAAAAACATACTAATGGGCCTACACAAATGACAGCTATTGGGCCTCTGCATCTAGTGCATAATTAGTAATTACCTAACCAGATATCATAATTTTCTTAATTAAATTGATAAAACTCAATAAAATAAGTGAAACTAAAAGAAAACAAAAAATATATTCTTTTAATAAAAACTGAATTCAAAATCAGAATAAAATCTTCATGAACCCAAATTCAAAACCCAAATAGATCTAATTTTTACAAAATTAAAAAAAAAAAAAGCCACTTCACGGAGGCCACATTGTTTGGACAGTCTTCAAATCATTTCTCTAACCAAATATTTCTAACTATATATATATATATATATATATATATTCCAAGAAACCAAAAAGCAAAGGGAGAATACAAAGCCTATCTGAGGATCTGGAACATATTGAGTTACTTACTCTGAAATGGGTTGCAACTGCTGTAGGGTTCTGTCTTCGTTTGAGGTCGAAGTCGAGAGCTTCCTGAGGGAACGGTACTGAAGACGCACGTTCTCCCCGCTTTCAACGATTTGCAGCGAGTACCTTCACCCCATACACACAAACTTATATACATATATATGTATTCTAACAATTTAGGATGTCATGGATCGAAAACCGTAATGACAGACTTACCATCCATTTAGACATTGAGATGTAACCACTGCTTCTTTTCCGACGAATTTCTCCGGAGTTCTCCGATTTCCCTGTAAATTTCGTAAGTTCCAAGGTAAGAAAAATGAAACCATGACCCAAAAAGAGATGTTTCAGTGATGGTGTAGAATCTCCCACCTTGATTAGAACCTTCTCGTTTACAGCAAATGGATACTGTACCACTCGATTCACTCCATCGTCTGCAGCAGTTTCTCCATTTTCCTACAGTATGTCTCTCATGAATTCAAGCAAACCCTTTTACCGGAAACCAACATAGTTCATGCAGGATTGATCTCGAAGCATCGTTTTCCGATTAAAGAAAGCACTCTCTACATTTCAGTGATCATAAAATAATTCACTTTACTGTCAAGAACGTTGTGATAGGTTTTAGAAACCTATCAGGAACGTTTTCAAAGGCGATGCCACGATCTATTTCTGTCATACCCTTCGGTTATAATACCCATAAAGTGAAGCGATAAACTGACAAGAAAATGTAAATGGTTTAGGAGCAAAAACCACGAAAAAACACCAAAGCATCAAGGTAAAGAAAGGGTAGTGTCATATCATCTCACCAGATCCATTTGATCGCTCATCTCTTTTCTACGTTTCCGCATGGCTGCATTGTGGAAACGTCTTCTATCGTCCTGTTGCTTTAACATTGCTGCAGCAGCTCGAAGGGCTATAAGATAAATGAACAGTTAAAATCATTTGCCCGTTTACAATACGCAAGACAATGGTTAGTTGATAAATTCGACCAGGAAAAGAGGCAAACAAAGAAAGAGAACAAGAGAATGAAACTAAATAGGATTACCGAGGTTAGGGATCAGAGAGCCAATCTCAATATCTGCACTGCAGAGAGTACATCTAGACTGAGCAGAAGATAAATCCCGTTACTAAAGATTTTTCTGACATTTAGCAAGAACCGTCACAGAAGAGTTGGATAATAATGAAGAAGGAAAGCCAGTACTAACCATCTCAAGCACCCTTCTAAGCATGAGGCCACCAAATGAATGCCCACATGAAACAGCCATTGCATCTTCAAGAAAAGCACCACTAAACCATCACATAGTTTGTAGCAAAGAATTAAAAACCTAATCCTACTGCACCTCATAAACAAAATAAGACAGATACGGGAGGAAAAAAAAGGAATTTAATCTATCGTATAGATCGTGAAATGTGGGCATCGAAAATGAATAAACATTGTGCCGCTGTTGAAGGTAATTTGAACAAGAAAGCCGGTCAAAGTACAGGGCATCTAGCAGAAAGGTATAGATTTCCTACATTTAAAAGAACCAATTTTTTTCTGATAAATAAATTTGTAATTAATCCATTAAGTTCACCAGGATAGCTACCTACTAGTGGAAAAGTTAGAAAAATTGAGTTGGGGGCTCATGAATATCGAATGCGCTCTTCTTATTGTTGGTAACAACATAGATAAGCATTTCACTGAACGGAACATTGGACATCGAGGTAAAGTTATTCCTCTTAAACAACAATAAAATGATCAAGGAAAAATAGGGTACTTACGATATTGGATCAGAGAGGACACTTCTTAAGGAAGGCTCTTTGCTAGCATCATCTCGAGCAACCTGTCCCCCACAATTCAGACAGAAGACAATTTTATAAGGAAGACAATTTTACAAATACCCGTACATACACAGGATTTTAGTTCTGGTTTAACAAAGGATGACATTACATTGGCTTTAACAGGTGCATTAGCTAATCCATCATCCTCGCCCAAAAGGTCATCCATAAATTGACTGGCAGATACTGGGACATAACTTTGAGGAATTACATAACCAGCTGCTTCTATTGGGGAACAATCTAATACAGCATTACTCTTTGGCATTAGCCTGAATGCCAGAGATATCCTGCATTCGCATGAATAACCAATTCAACCAAGAATTAAATATTACATAATCATGCCAAAACGTGTGATCATATCAGAGAAAAAACCTTAGAACCTACCCAAACATACCTTTCCTGAGCATTAGTGCCAGATAAATAATTGGGAGCAACTTTGTAAGAAGCAGCCGGACGAAGGCCTGCAGTAGCATGACGGAGGGCTTTGCCTGTAATCAATAAAAGATCACCTGCTCCGCAAGCACTATCCGCTAAGTACCAATGACCATTATGGTCACAGACCTACAGGAAAGGGAAATTTCAGAAAAAAGAACTAGCAACATTTACTCCCATTGTATAATATCAAGCAAACAAGGTAAAGGTTAGGAGTACAACTGATAATGCATTAAATCTTAGATTCAGATGAATAGTATTCTTTAAGCAACTATCTATCGTCGAGAGGATGAAAAATCGTGTTTTCACATTGACTCCCTCACTCAAAAGGAACCATAAAAATATCCTACACGCAGACACCTAAATTATCATCGTCAAAGTTCTTGGACTTGGAGAAGACCTGAATGCCAGGCCCATCTGAGCAGAACAGTGTTAGCAGTCCCTTCTCAACTTCCAAATTAGTGGATGCCTTTACACCTCCAGCGGCAGGTTTTCCATTTGGGATAACTGAATGAGCATTGGAAGCCACGAGAACTGACGAGGAAATTTCATTCAGGGCTAATGGTGTTTCATCAAGCAAATGGTTGAAAGCGCTGCAAGATGCTCACTCTGAGTTCAAGGGTTAAGAGAGAGGTAAACGAAACTGAAACACAATTACTCCATAACCATACTTACTCAGTTCGAAGATGTAGATGCCTTGCAATTGCAGATAAAGCAGCACGTGCTACTTTACCCATGCACCAGAATATCTCGGCCATGCATGGAGGTGAAGAATCTAAATCATCCACTGATCTGTCCCGAAGACGAAACCAGTCATTACGCAACATATAAAAGCAGAAAAAACATGACTATGGGCAGGCAACTATACATCCTACTGGATAAGCTCGAAAATGCATTCAAACAATTGAAAGTCGATCAAGATTTCTGGACCAAGATGTGCAAGAAATTTCTATGTTTATCGGGACAAAACCAAGTCAACAACTCAAAATGAATCCAGAGGCAACACTCAGAGAACAGGAATGCAGAAAATAGTTAAGGCATATAGAAGACACGACAAACAAGAAGCTCGTTGCCACAAAATCCCACCAGACACTCAGAAACATTGATTCAAGTTTGCCAAAGAAACAAGCATAACCCAATTCCATTACACAACATAGCCTGCGAACAAGAAACCTTCTGAACTACATTTCAAGACACTACTCCTAGCTGAATTTATGAAACTATAAGAGAAGCATACGAACTACCTTCCCGCCCTGTACATACATAGACCACGACTTCCCTTTCCGAGAAAGGTTTGTCGTCTGGTCCTGAAAAACAAGCCCGCAGCTTCAAGCCCACATCTCATCAATGCCGCATCCTCATGCCCGAGCTCGATCACAGACGCATTGTACCTCATCAAAGACCCAGATAAAGCCTCCACAGCCCTAACGTAAGCCGGCGAAGGAGCCCCGTCGTAGGGTATAATATCACACAACCGAACCCTAGCAAGTGGACCACCCGCCATCCCCAGCAGGGCCTCGCCGGAAGGATTAGCAGTCGAAATCGGCGTCACCGGAATCGCGTGAGACGACGGAGTCTTGGACATGGCGGCGGACCTAACGGCTGACGGGCTCCGCCGGTGCATCACCACCGCAATCAACCATTCTTACAAATCTCCACAGTTACTTCAGTCGCAAGCGAGCTTTCCGAGGTCTAGAGTGTTGGCTTCACTCGTTCGCCGGAAAACCAAGAACACCGCGTCTTGGTGAAGTCGTCAGCAACGACGGACTTTGCATGAACGGATGGCTTTCCCCAGGTGATGTGAGGTGGGCGATTACCGATATCGTCGTTATCGTCTCCGGTGGCCACCGGCGATGAAGGACAACGATGAATTCGCCGGGACTTTGACAACTCCGATTTGATTCTTCTCCTGTTTATGCTTTGGTTTGATTTGAAAATCAATAACTTTGTAATCACATTTTGGTCAAACTTGCTTCAAATGGGGCACGCGATGACATTTCCGGTTTAAAAATACAAAAAAACGAATTAAATTTAAATCTAATTAAATCATATATAATCTAATTCAAAACAGGTTTAATTAAAAATCCATAGATACTGATATTTTAAAATAAAAAAATTATAGTTGAACTATATATAAAATTAATATATAATTTTAAAAAATAAATATATTTGCCCATATTTCGATACTATAATATATTTCATATTCTAATTATGCACAAGTTATATATAATTAACTAATTGAATCCAAGAATTTATAATCATATTCAAATAGAATTAGATCTGAAAATATAACTGGTTATAATTATTATTAGCTAAACTGATTGCATTTAAATCATATAAATACCAAAACATGATAAAAAAAAATATTTTGAAAAACTATATTTTATAATAAAAGGGATTTTAAACCTAAACACCTTAAATTTATTACGCGTATTTTATGTAGTTTGATAACCAAGTAGTTTTAGTAGTTGTAAAAGAGAGAGCTTTGGACTGTAAATGGTCATTATGATATAAATAGGGATACAGTATGTAAAGAAAGAAAAATTGAAGGGTCTTATAAAATAAATGTTTTCTCATATAAATGCAACGGTGGAACAGTTAGGGTGTTAAATATGCAAATAAAGTAAAGTTTAAGGGTTTCTAAAATATGTATGTGACAAAGGTTTAGTCACGTACCCACGGAATAGTTTGTGTTAAATTTGTAAAGAGAGAAAAGTTTTAGGGTTTTCGGAAAATAAATATGTATTTGCTTCTTTGTTTTGGTTTCCAAATTAATTACAAAGCGCTGAAAAGATTCGAAGGAAAATCGAAGCTCCCCTCCGAGAAAGTACTGAAATTCGTCGTTAGGGTGTTAAATATGCAAATAAAGTAAAGTTTAAGGGTTTCTAAAATATGTATGTGACAAAGGTTTAGTCACGTACCCACGGAATAGTTTGTGTTAAATTTGTAAAGAGAGAAAAGTTTTAGGGTTTTCGGAAAATAAATATGTATTTGCTTCTTTGTTTTGGTTTCCAAATTAATTACAAAGCGCTGAAAAGATTCGAAGGAAAATCGAAGCTCCCCTCCGAGAAAGTACTGAAATTCGTCGAGGGGGAGAGAGAGAGAGAGAGAGAGAGAGAGAGAGAGAGAGAGAGGGAGAGATGAAGGCATTAGGATCTGCTGGTTGGAAGGGCCCTGTTAAATTCAGAATGTATCTTCTTCTTCTTCTTCTTCTTCTTCTCCTTGTTTTGTTTAGGACTGTAACTGTATTGCGTTTATGGAATTGGGATTCTGGAACAGGCCCACTGCTGAAAATCTGGTTCCGATTCGTCTGGACATCGAAATCGAGGGTCAGCGCTACAAAGACGCTTTCACTTGGAACCCTTCAGGTTTTCTCGCTTTCGATTCGTTCTCGTACGGTTTTCCGACCTGAATCTTGTTGCTGAATTGGGCTTTCTCTCAGACCCGGATTCTGAGGTTGTAACCTTCGCCAAAAGGACTGTTAAAGACTTGAAACTCCCTCCTGCTTTTGTCACTCACATTGCTCAATCCATTCAGGTTCCTCTCTCTACAGTTCTTTTGCATTTTGTCCGAGAATCATACTAACTTTCTTCGGAATCATTTATTCACGTTGGGTTATTGTCCTGTTTTATCAGTCTCAGCTCTCTGACTTCCGATCCTATGAAGGACAAGACATGAACACAGGCGAAAAGATCGTCCCTATTAAGGTTTGTGTGACACAAGATGACGTCTTTTTTTCCCCTCCCTGTTCCAGCCATGAGTTATTTTCGGCACCAACCAGAATCTATGGAAGCTCATATGTCTTTTCTTGGTCTTTTCAGCTTGACCTTCGAGTGAACCATACCCTCATCAAGGATCAGTTTTTATGGGTAAGCACACTTAAACGATCACGGGCACTGCACTCATGGTTTTGTTAGTCTTAGGTTCGATGTGGTTTGGCTCGTGGCTTTCAGGACCTAAACAACTTTGAGAGCGATCCCGAGGAATTCGCGAGAACCTTGTGCAAGGATTTAGGTATTGAAGATCCTGAAGTTGGGGTAAGATAGCCGTCAAAGTTTCTACCTTTCATTCTGTGATTAAATAGAACTCCATTTCAAGTACATAACCCAAGGTGTTGTGGGCTGAACAACTAAGCGTTTACAACAACAACAGCAGCAACACCCTATAATCCCAAGTTTATTTGGGGGTCTGCCGCATGAATTCTTTTCTACCATTCATTTCGGTTTTGGGTAAAGTCCTCCGAAATTTGTAAATCCTTCAAAACATTACTGATCACTCGTTCCCAAGTGAGCCTAGGGAACGAGTGATTAGTAATGATTTGAACACCTTGTCTAGATTGTTTCCCATGATCAAACCCTTGTTTACTACCTGACCATCTGTTGTTTGGTTCCTTCCTCTTTGCAGCCTGCAATTGCCTTTGCAATCAGGGAACAACTCTACGAGGTCATTGTTCTGCTTATATGTCTTTAAGCTGTAAATTTTGTATTCCTTGTAGAGCTCATTTTTCAAGAAGAACATTCAGTAACTAAACCTGGTCAGCTACCTCGTCCTTGTTTCCGCTTTTCAGATTGCAATACAAAGTGTGGCTTCAGCTAAGGAGAGCAGATTAAGTAAAAAGGGCCGGCGAGGTTCTGAGCATGGTTCGGCAAGGTTGGGTCCTCATTGTTCCAATCATTTTATCCATTTTTAATTCTCTGCCAATGACCAAGCTTGCTAGAACAAACCTGTATAATAATTTTCCTCTTAAGTGCAGCAAAGCAAGTGGTTTGTCGATGGACTTGATGAAGTTGTTTAGCTTCAAATCTAGCGTTGTACGGTAAGTGGTTTTCCCAGCCTCGGTTTCTGTTTGTATTCTCCCCTGTTCAAGCTTGTTTCAAGACATGTAGAAGTATACCATACCGTATACGTTTCTAATGGGATAAGTTGAGAGAGTAAAATTGATGAGATATCTGAATTTACAAACAAAAACATACATGTTTGAGAGTTCCTTCTATGTAACTAAAGGTGTAGAATCCGCATCTCCTTTGAGTTGCTCTGTGTCAATGCTCCATTGGCCTCTGGATGGAACAAACATCAGATGGATTTGATGGTTGTCATTGGCTGGGATCTTTCGGAATGAGGATCATTTGTGGTTTAGTAACCCGAGGTGGTCGATCTTGACAGGAAAAGGAAGGACTGGGAAGTTTATGAGCCAGTGGTGGATTTGCTCACAAATGAGGAAGTTGATGCGCTTGAAGCTAGAGAAGAGAGGCATGCTAGGTGATAGTCTTTGTGTTATACATATATATATATATATATATATATATAGTCTTTAGAGCAGGATTCTGAGGTTTTCATAGAACTCAAGTATGTTGTGTAATGCTTTAGATGGAGCATATGTTACTGTTGTAGGCTCTTTTAATTAGAATGACGATTGCTGTCTTTTAGTTGTTTTTCAACCAACTCCTGATCTTCACAATTACCATTTTGCCCTCAACAACAGAAACCAGCTATAAATTCATACCCACTTGCACTGGCTGGTCTATCTACAAAGAAGAACAGAACAGAACAGAACCATGGTAAATGTTCTATCAAAACATAACCACATAGAAAAATGGATTTAGCTTCATGATTCATTATAGGATATAAACACTGAAAACAAAGCCAAAAAGCCAAAATGCTATCATGGAAGTTTTCATTCTCAGAACCAGCATTCAACGGATTCCTAATTTACACCTGTGGAGGCAGAATGGATCCCCAATTTGTACAAGCAATGAAGTCTAGATTTATGGAGTTACATTCCAAACGAGAAACTCAAAAGAGGGTTCTGTTACATAATCACATTCACAAAAGGTGTTGAGACTGGTGGGATGGGATTACCCGTGGAAGAGAGGTAACTAAGCAACAGATATCGTGTTCAAGAGACTGTCTATGTACTCTTTAAGTTTGGCCTTCGTGATTGCGCCTTCCCTCCGGCTCCCAGGAACTTCCTTCCCGTTCTTAAAGAGGATGAAACTCGGTAAACCGTAAACCTTGTATTCTTCTATTAATCGTGGATTGGCATCGTGATCAATCTTTACAACCGTCATTCTGTCACTATATTCCTGGGCAGAGGCAAGAAAACAAAAGAGTTTCAGCTATCAAATGTAGCAAACAAACGAATAATGGATGCTAGAATGTGGAATTTTACCATTACAAACAAATATCGGTATCAACAAGTTAGCAAAGGAAGTCTCTTTATTGAGATAAAAAAACATGGAATTTGAATCCCGAATCAATCACTCTCGAAAAGAACACGTTTTCCATTGTTATTCAGAGAACCTGGAGAAACCAATGAAGTGCACAACTCGCATTTGCCAATAAACACCTCACCATACAACTCAACAAATCATGGGTTTTCTGTTTTCAGTGCACAAATCAACTTATCCATGAAACCGGATACCCATCTAAATCAATGGAAAATATAAGGCACCCATAAGAGTTTAGGATCTAACATGCTTTGACAGGATACAGAGGAATTCGAATTCGAACTCTGTTTACGAGTCTATATCCGCTTCATTGTAGATTCAAAGCAAATGACGAGACACTAAAATCAGAAGTAGAAACTTCTAGGCAGTGTTAGAACCCAAGTCATTGAAATGGTTACCAAAACAAGCCAAGAGAAAAGATTCTCAAGTAAACAATCATTTTCAACATATACTGTTGACAATATCTGGAAACCGAGCACTCTCTCTGTATGATGGAGTTCCTCTTCTTTAGATTGCGTAGTAATATCATATATATCACCATATCACACTTCCATAAAAGATAAACCATTGGAAGTTAGAAAAACCCAGCATGAGAGATTAAACTCCGCGCAAAACAAAGAACAGGGAGAAATGGCGAAACCACCTGAGCGAGCGATTCCATGGCGGGATAAATCAACCTGCAGGGACCACACCATGTCGCGACGAACTCCACCAGAACCGGACGGTCCGATTCCAGAACCGTACTCGAAAACTCGGTTTCTCCGATCTCCTGGATACCGCCGCACCTTATCGTCGGCAACACGGCTCCAGCGAAGAGACTCCTGCTTCGCCGACCGGACCTGAGCGAAAGGCGGTGGAGATTGGCCGCGGCGGAGGTGTGATGACTCCAGCTTAGAGGTTTAGCGGTTATGGAGGCGGCCGGGGAAACTGCACGAGCTGGTGGGAGAGATGATCGGAGAAGAACCGGGGAGCTCGAGAAGATAGCGTTCATGGCTCCTCCTCCTCCCCCCTGTGTTCACCGAGGACGATGTTTCAGAAGGCACAGAGAAAAACTATCAAATCTAGGAATTGTGTGGCATCAGATGGAAGGAGGCTGCGGATTTTTTTTCCTTCCTTTAAATAATTTTTTTTTTGTTTGCACCTTTCGTTTTTTTTTTAGTTATTTTATTTTTACCCCACATTGCCAATTATATTATCTCTTTCTTTAAATAATATGTACAATTTGACAAGTGTACCAACAAAAATCCTAGTAAACTAATTTTTTTTGTATCAAATAATATATTAAAAACAATTGAAACAAAGTTTTCTATCCTTTAAAATATTTAAACACGTTATAAAATCGCGTTTTATTCTTCAAATTTGTCATTTATAGATGTTATATTCTTATTTGGCATTATATCAAAAATACCCTTAAAATGCTACTTCTACTTCAACACCTACCCTTATGACCATGTGACCAATGTGACCGAAATATAGTGTGGTCACATATTGATCTCATTGTTCATAACGTTAAATTTATGATGTTTTAATCAAATGATTAGTAAGATATACAAGGTATAAACATAATGAATTAGTGTGATCACCATAAATTTAACGTATATCAAAATAAAAATCAAAATGTGACCATACTATATTTCGGTCACATTGGTCACATGTGACCAAGGTAGGTCTTGAAGTAGAAATAGCATTTTAAGGGTATTTTTGATAATGTCCCTTCTTATTTATATGCAATTGCCTGCAGCAGCATAGTCGGAAGGCATGAGATTGGGCCTGAGCCCATTTTCCAATGAACAACTTTCAATTTGATTGGGCCGACGCCGGCGATATTGGGCCGGAGACGGCGAGCTTAGGTCGGCCATAAGACAAAGGATATATATAATTATTTATTTCCTTAGCTGAAAAATTACGACTTCTCTCTCTCTCTCTCTCTCTCTCTCTCTCTCTCTCTACGTTTCTTCTTCATCTTATTCTTCTTGATTCTCGCCTTCTGAGATTTCTCAGATTCTCGTCAATGTCATCCGCCGTAAATTTCCCCGGCTCCGCCGCAGATGCGGACAAGGTCTTCTTCTGCCACCAATGCAATCGCACCGTCACTATCCCAATTTCATCCTCCGCAGACCCTTTTTGTCCTCTCTGCAACGAAGGGTTCCTCGAAGAGTACGAGAACCCTAACCCTAATCCGAGCCCCGTCCTTAACCCTAGCGGGTTTCTCCCGTTCCCCGATCCTATCTCGTCTCTCCTTCCGATCTTATTCGCGCCTTCGGCGTTGCCTTCTTCCAACGTAATCGACTTATTCAACCCGAGCTTTTTGGGCCATCCGATGCAAGGGCGGTCCTCGCCGCCGGACTCCATCGCTTTCGACCCGGCCGCGTTTCTTCAGGACCATCTTCAGAACCTGCGATCGAGAGGTACCCACATCCAGTTCATGGTCGAGAACCACCCTTCCGGTCCTGGGTTCTCGGGGACTACTTCTTTGTTGCCTGGAAATCTCGGGGACTACTTCTTTGGTCCGGGTCTTGAGCAGTTGATTCAGCAGCTTGCGGAGAATGATCCGCACCGGTACGGGACTCCTCCGGCCTCGAAATCCGCCATTGATGCGCTCCCGACTGTGAAGGTAACGGAGGATATGTTGAATTCGGATATGAACCAGTGCGCCGTTTGTATGGATGAGTTCGAGAAGGGTAGTGCTGCGAAGCAGATGCCTTGCAAGCACGCATATCATCAAGATTGTTTGCTTCCATGGCTGCAACTGCACAACTCTTGCCCTGTTTGTCGGTATGAGTTACCGACAGACGACCCTGATTATGAAACCAGGACTCATGGAGCTCAGGAAAGTGGTGACGGACAGGGATCGGGTGGGAACCAACCAACGCCTAGGAGGTTTAGTATATCATTGCCATGGCCATTCAGGAGACAAGATGGAGGCTCGGGCTCTGGTTCAGGATCTGGTGCGCCTGGAAATGGTGGTGGTGGAGCTGACTTGGAGGAGACTAGACAAGAAGATTTGGATTGAGGTTTGTTATGTCCACTTTGTCTCTCTATCTGAACTTCGATTCTGTTCTGAGAGTGTCGAGTGAGAACCACTCGTTTTGTTCCTGAGGCAATTTGTGGTCTTGTTGATCTTTGAGAAAATGACGGAGATTTTAGAAAGTCGGACACTTTTGCAAAGCCTGAAAAATTGGTTTTTGCAAAACTCTGTTGATGTTTCGGCAAAACAACTCCGTACATAAGTTTACCACCACACGTTAAATGCAATATAGACATCTGGCTCGGTCCTTGGAAGAGGATTTGCAAAATTTAGTTGAGATGTCAATGATTAACATCTAAACTTGATGCTGGTCTGTGAATGTGGCTTCTTGGTTAGCCATAAAATTCTTGAAAGAAACTTGACTTTTATTTGATTCGGAGGCAAGTACTAAAAGTTTAGTTAATATTCCCTAAATTGCACATTAATCATAGTGTTAAAGTTTCTTGGCTTCTTGACCTCTAGTTTTGCATTTTTAATTTTCTTTTCCTGGACTCATCTACTTGTTCATAATCTCTTCTCCTTGCCGTATTTGACTTAAAACTAAAAAAATGGTTTTTCAATTCAAAATATTATTTGCTTGACTTATTGATCATTTAGCATGGGAGAGGGGGCCTTGTTAGGGTCATTGTCGATGCTATGTCACTGCAATAACATTGCATTGTTTCGAGAACTTTCTTTAATTCCATTAAACATAATGTGTCAATGGTAAGTGTTTTAATAACATCTCTTTACTCCTTTGCAAAAGCTTCTCTACGATCCAAGAGAGTGCTTATTTCTACTCATCTAAGCACTCCAATGTTTTGAAGCTTGTCCCATGTCATCTTGATTGTAGCTTTTTTATAGACCTGTCACCTGTGTAAAGATGGATTATTCTAAAGTTGAGTAATCCTTAACTGATACTAGACATGATATTGTGATTTTCGAAGGACATGATTCAGGAGTTATTTGGTACTTAAAGTGGAAGAGAAGAATGATCTGCTGTTAATTGTTTTTAGGCAGGTAGGTATTGGTAGAGGTATGTGATTGCGACAATGCGTGCTATTGCCGTCACCTTCATTTGTAGATACTTTGCTTGATTTTTTGAGGAAATTTACCTTGAGATACACATTGTGAGATGCTGCTAAGTGGGCAACCTTTTGGTATTCTCTTCAGATAATTATCTCCTTTAATCAGATTTGTTCCTTGTTTTAGTGCATATTATCTATGTAGTAAACTGCAAAATACTTTGCAATGCATGTGTAGTGCATGGTAGCTACTTTGACCCGCGATGTAAGGGGCCACGGACACAAAGCCGATGCTTTTTTGCCACCCTTCTGCCTCTTCATCCTAACTATGGTAGAACTTTGTATGTTTTAATCTTCATCACACATCTCCCCTTTCAGGGTCTCACATAAACAGTTTCAATTATGGTTATGTATTGTGTTTTGCACAATGTTGAGTTTAACTGTGTTCTTAAGCATGATTCAGACTGGCCATTCTGTTTTACTCAGAAAAACGGCATCATCTTCTATTTCCGAGTCAGATTATGATGTAGGTCGTTCCCGCGGGAGCCTTTTCATTTAGATCATATGGTTCACATTTGCTGCTGTCATTTTGGTGCAGTGTTAATACAATCCGCAGATGTTTGCTTGGAGGAAAGATATGGTCAAAGATCACAAATTGCGAGAAAGCTGAAGCAAGTGCGTTTTCATAACTCTTTTCTTTTGTCCCATGGAAACTTCATGTTGTATCAGCGAGGCTCTGTACTTGTAGAAAAGGAGTTTTTTCTTCTATTTTTCGGGTATACATCCGAGACTTTGAAATTGTCATTTTCCTTTTTTTGTATTGATGCATTTGTGAAGATTACTTTGTATCCATACTCTCTCTCGTGTACATATGATTGTTAATTAATTATATACCATTATGAAATCTAAAGACTGTGTGTGGACATCTGGTATGTATGCATGTGTGTGTAATGGAATAGTAGGTTTGGTTGTCTCGTTCATATCCAAGTGTTGGATATCCTAAAAATATATCAATTTTTTTTTTAATTTGATATATACCATTATGAAATCTAAATATTTGAACACTGTCAAATTTCTGCAGGAGAAACGGCATCTGAACTAATCGGAATCCAACCGAAATCTACCGAGTTTTATATCCATCCGACAAAGATTTATTCGGTACCAAAACCCAAAGCGAAACCATGACACTCGAGGGAAGTCTGATACATAATAACCTAAAGGGAAAGAAAACACGAGGTTAGTATTATTTGGATATTTTGGCGGTTAACTCTCTCACAAGCTTAGCAGCGACCATCGCGGTCATGCCATCGACAGTGTCGCGCTGAGGGTTGAACTCGACGACATCTGCAGCGACCACATCGCCTTGTAGGTTGTGTAGGATGTTCATGACGTCACGGAACGAGAGACCTCCTGGTTCGATGTGGGAAACTCCGGGAGCAAAGGCCGGGTCGAGACTGTCCAGGTCGATTGAAATGTACACTCCCTTCACCCCTTCCCCGAGTTTCTGTTTTCAAAACATCGTGACACAATAACTTATAACCGTATCCAAAACGAATTCGATATAAAAAACCAAACCCAAACCAAAATTTTTGTTAATAAAAACTAGACCCGAAAGCAAAAATCGAAATCGAACGAATCCAATATAAAACCGAATGGGTAAAGATTTTCTAAAACTGGAACGAAACCCGAAATGACCACCCCTAGTGTCTAGGTTAGAAATCTCTAATGGGAAGAGGGTTAGAGGGAGACCAGATTTTCCAGGACTTCGCGATCTCGGGAAAAGGTCCGCATTTCGTATTGTTCCACTCCGAACCTCTTGCCCTGTTCCCGTCCTTCACTGTTAATGGATCTGATCCCTACCTACAAAACATTAGCAATTTAATGTGAGTAGTTTCTAATGCAAGATCTGTCTTTCACTCCCATTTTTCAAGCTTGTATTGATCGGAGAAATTGGAGCAACCTGCAAAAGACGACGAGCATATCCACCTTCCATGATACGAGCAAAGGAAGAGGCGTGAGAGTACTTATTCCCTTCAAAACAGTCATAGATATCAGGATGGGCATCTAGATGAAGAATATCCACTGGCCCTCCGAGCTTCTCGGAAACTGCTCTTACAACGGGAAATGATATGGAATGGTCGCCTCCTAAGACCAGTGGCCGCAACGGATCCTTGAAAAGAAGTATAGTAAACGTCATAACTTGAGCTTGATCTTAAGAGATCTTCCAATCAAACGAGATTGTGAGACAAAAATCATATGATTCCCGGCCAATTGTGATTGAACCCAGTACTCAAATACGAAAGGAAATTTAATATCTACAAACAACATATTTGGAATCAACAAGATTGAATCCAATTTAAAGCTAAGCAAAACCAAGAAACTTAAACAAAAGCCTCGGGTATATGGTAATACTGCAGTTCCTGAACATCAAAAACAATCTTGATAAGTTCATGAGACTGTCACAAGGAAATGGTGAGGTGTCAAGTGTTAGATATCACAAGGTCGTCATAAGTTTACAGTAGTCTATTCAAGAATAAATAAGACGTTTTTTCCAGAAAATAAGAATCAGTATTTCGTACTTCTTGTCTTGCATCCAAAACACGTTCAATAACTACATTTGCAGGCCAGCAATTGAACTCCTAGATGTCGGAAAGACCCTTCTAGAAATCTGAACACTAGAGACATATTGTGGCCGAACGCTCAAAGTGGAAAAAGACTATTTTGAGAAAAATGTTTTGGTAAATTTCACATACCAGATGACATTAATACCTAACCACTTTTCTACGGACGGTGCTTATTATACATATCTCAATCTGAGATAAAGATTATAGCATACCTCTTCCATCACGAGCTTCACAGACTCGCTTATAACATTCATCAGTCTGTCATCATCAACCCCACAATCTCTAATCTCTTGCACAGGGACATCCCCGACATCTGTTAGAACTCGTGGGTCGTTTAGCTCCTTCCCTGCGTTTTTAAATGTAAATTTTCAAGTATATAAAAAGAAATAACCGCCACCACTGTACGAAAACGGATTCCTAAAAGCACCAGATGACTAGATTGCAACCTCTCTATTCCATGCATTATACAAGATGGGCAACCAAAGGGCAATAAACACCACTAAGATCTACAAACATCTTATACTACTGTTTTATTGGTTTACATCCACACATGTAATACCTTGTCCTCAGAAAACAAGCAGATAACACAATAACAAAGCCCAAAAGATTGCTCGCTAAAACATGATATCTGCCCACATTAAAAAATGGGTCCAGACTGTAGGATCAAGAGTTCATTCAAACACTTCACTTTGACCATAAAAACTACACGAACTAGAGGGCTTGAGCTACCTTCTTCAGTTGTTGAGTTTGTACTACCACACCAGATTGCCTCCCTAATACGGGGAGGGGCAAAAGCCGGCCCTTGAAGGAAAGAAGAGTTGTGGCCAAGTGGAACACCGAGAAGTGATGTTGAAGCTTTGGCTCCTCCTAGTAGCCGCACAAGCTCACCCTAAGCGAAACACAAAAGCTCCCAAATGGGCACATCAACCAATACAAACAGCAAGAGAAAACCGACCAGAAGCTATTAACTGAGCATCATCAAAGACCAAGAAAATTCTATTATTTTCAACCGCATATCCCCTGAAAAAAAAATACGATGATCAGCTCAAGAAATTACTTTCAGTTTTGCCCTTTCACGAATGAGAGTCAAAGAAGCATCAATGACACGGTTTTGGCCCTTCTCGATCAAAGCAGCCGGAATGGTAGCAGCATTGAGCTTCTGAAAGTAATGAATTCCTCTCCGGCCTATCATTGACATTTCTGCATCAAAGAATGTTAAACAGATGCAGATAACAAGATTGAGAGAACTTTGATTTCATCTGAGTTGAGTTGAGCTTATGTGCTCAAGAGTTCAAAAATACACATCGCAAGACTAAACTATCTTAACCAACAGAGCCATGATCCATTATAATCCTCAAGCAGGGTCCAACATATTAATCTAAAACAGTCCATAGTCTTAATATCAGATTCACAAGTGAGCCTGCATAAAATGTGCTCATATATGTAAACAAACACATAAACAAGCAAGTGGAGAATATTATAATTTTTGGGGTTAAACTAATGAAATCAAAGATACCACATGATCCACATAGAAGAACAAAGAAACGAATCTCTTTTTTATTAAGAGAAAAAAAACTTAAATAAGCATATCATAATCTCAGATTCGTAAGAATGTTAGTTTTACAAAGAATGCTAGATTTGGTCTTTTATGCAGAATTTTATATGGAGTAGGCTTATAGGGTTAGAATAGGTAGGCCTCTCAGTAAGACCTTTTTTCATCATTTGTTTGTGATAACATCCTTCATTGGAGATCTCAAGCTCAGTTCTTCATACTGAATATTCCTTGAGAAGAAAATATCTCCGGCCCACCTCAAGTAAGAGATCTCCTGATTTTAAGCTATGGGACTAACTAACCTGAACATAATTCCCTTAAATCAGGGGAGTCTTTATGTTGCACACGTTTTGTCATGAATGCTTATTTTCCACTTCAAGTTTGTCAACTGGAGGCAGTGGACGGCCCCTCCTGGTTCTTCATATAAAGTTATAAAAGGAATGCAAATTAGGCAACTACTTTGTGTAATACTCATCAAATCTAGTTATGAAAATAAAGATACATCAACCTTCCCCCTTGATTTGTAGAATATCGAATGCCAGCAGGAACAACAGTGAATCCGACACATAATTCCATGGTATTCTCCAGAAATCGCAAATATATATATATATATACACACACACGAGCAAAACTTATAAGAAAAAGGGCTTGATAAGATCAATTTCTCTCCGAGTTCAAGAGAAACAACACCGAATTCAACCAAAAATTCAATAGAATTCTCCACGAATCAGGGAAAAACATATAACTCCGCACACAACTAAAATACCCAAGGGAAGGGCTTACAAAGATCAAAATTCACTCCGAATTCAGGAGAAAAAAACACCGAATTCAAAAGCCAGTTCCATGGAATCGACCAGGCTCCGAAAAAGAAAACACGTCAGGGACAAACATCGAAGGCGGAAAGAATCATATGCCAGACAGAGATCAGAGAAAGCGAAGATGGATAAGAAATGCCAAGTTTGGCACTGAGAAAACGAGCGAGGACGCCATAGAAACGAAGAAGGAAGCAGTCACCTGACCTTCAAGCGGAGAAGAAGAAGAGAGATTGTAGACTGGGGAAGAGGGAGAGAAAGCGGGATACGAAGATATACACTTCCCTTTACACATTTATTATTAGTAAGGAATACGTGTGCGTATATATAAAATCGTTATCGTATTGTTGGCGTACTTATCTACGGTTATACAACAAATACTTTGCATTACTATCTTAAAAAAAAAAACAGTATTTCCTTTAAAGGAAAACAATATAAAAAAAAATTGAAGTTAGGATAATCGTGAATTAAAAAATATATATTCAACACTCTAAGAGGCACGTGACCCTGCACATGCGTTGCGATTAGGTCTGATATATTTTTCTAAACCGTATATGTGTGTACGTATATATATATATGTATTCAAACTTTGGGTTTAATATTTTTCTATTCACCTCTCACTAAACTAGATTGCTAATATTAGAATTAATATTTTCAGAATTAATTAAAAATATTATCTGAAATTTTGAAAGGCGCATGGTCAGATATATAATACTCCAAATGATGATTCATTATGTGAGAGCACATGACGATAATAATAACTTTCATCGTATAGAATACAAAATATAAAATAAAATAACTGAACCTCTAATATAATAGAATGACAACAAAAACCCAAAAAAATAAAATAAAAATTAGAATGCTCAGGAAACATTTCGAATTAAACATAAAAATAATTTTTAAAAATTGATTTTAATCGAAATGTTACATAAAAACCCAAGATTAGATGATTGAAATGGTAATAAAAAGAGCAAACCTTATTATCAACCCAAGTTTGGGTATATATTTGGGTTTTTTCATTATTTTGGAAAATATAGTTGGGTCAAATATTAAATGAATTTTTGGATTATAGAAAAAAAGAAATATGATATAAAAATTTGAACCAATTTAATGGTAAAATTATCTCCAATTAAAGTTGGAATATTGATGATGGATTCCCTACAAAAATTGATATCTCAACATTAGTCTAACCCATATGGATAGTGACATAGAAACTAATTTTCTTATGTTATAAGTTTACAAACTTTTTTGTGTGTGTTTTTTGAGGTGTGGGGTTCATATAGACTAAGATTTCGATGTCATACGCACTAAATCTCACATATTAATTATCCCAATTTTACTATACCCTTGTAGGAGATTAAATGCATGAAATTCTGGCTTTAAAAAATTTAAATTTTGAATTTCACAGTAAATATTTTATGATTTAGATTATTTGTAATACAAAGAAGAGAGAAATGAAATCCATTAGGGAGGAGTGTTTTAATGGTTGACTAATGATAAAATTATTTCAAGGTTTTGATTTCGATTCTATCAAAGAGGAGTGCGTAATTAATTGTGTGATTATATACTGATTCCAAACTTTGAAAATTAGATGGGTCAAAGATCCAATCTATTGTTATAAAAAAAGAATGAAATTTTTATTCTGATAATAGATACTACCAGAAATAGAAACTAAAATTAAATTCGACTGATATAATAAACCAAATAGGGTTTTTATTTTTAAAAATCGAATTTCTAATTCAACAGCCGTTTTCATTTAAAACAAATTCCTTTTTTTCGGTTAATTCCAATTTAATTTGAATTAAAAGGAATCCAAAATCTCTACTCGAATTAGCAGTTTCTTCTCTTTCTCCAATCTTGTCCATTTCTCCTCGGAATTTTCAAACAAATTCCAAAATAGTGAAACACAAAAATTCGTTTGTAAGTATAATATAAGATATTCCATAACTTAATTGGCAATTTATATTTATGTTTCCAGTTAAAATTCCTCCCCTATTGTGACAGTAATGTTGGGTCCATTCGTTAATTGATTGGCCTACTGACATAATCATGTTTATTTTTGGATATTTGAGGTTAACAATTATAAAAATAATATAAGTTTACGTTTTCATGATCACATTGTTCAGATAGTCACAAAATGCTCATGATCACAAAAAATATATATACAAATATAATAAAATACGAATATAAATAATAAATAAATAGATTTGAATTTCCTCACATAAATTTCTTTTTTTCTTATGTATACAATATATTGTAGTAAATATGAATTAGAGAAAAATATATGAAAATTCATGAATTTATAATTTGGTGTAATATTAATTTATTAATTTGTAGGTGCACCTATTTATTTCCGAACTTACATTTTTGAACACAGTAAATCCTAAATTTATATTTTTTAACGTAGCAATTCTTAAACTTACATTTTTGAATATAGTAATTTCTAAACTTTATTTTGGTCAATTAGTGGTATGAATGATTGTAAAACCGTTAAATAAGTTTAGAAATTATTGTATTAAAAAATATAATTTTGAGAATAAATAGGCGCATCTACAAATTTATAAATTTCAAAAATTTTCAGATATTTTTTTCTATGAACTATAAAAACTCCAAAAAAGTGTATCTAAATAAATATAATGTATAATAAATATCTGGATAAGCATGTATTGCTAAATTTGACTATAAGTAAATCGAAATATCTTTTCCCAATCTAAATTCATTACTGCCCATCGAAATACGGAAAATCAAAATATATCGGTTAAAAAACGTCAAGGGTAAAACCGTACTTTTAAGCACGCGAGGAGCCGAGAATTTCACCTTTCAAAATTCCGTTGGTGGCAAAACCGAAGACATTCAAAATTGTCTGATAAATTTTAATAAAATGAAATATTTGAACAAAAAATAACCGTAATCCCATCCCATGGCCCATAAACAGAGAAATCAAAAGAAAGAGAGAGAGAGAGAGAGAGAGAACAGCATAGAGTTTCTTGCTTTTTCTTTTACTCGCGAGGCAGAGAAAAAGCTGCATCCTTCTTCGCTCGCTTTTCGAAATCTCCTTCCCCAATTTTCTCTCGTTTTCTCAGTAACCAAACAGTCTCCAGTCGCCGTATACTTCAACCAGGATAACTGTATACGGAGTGGTATATACTCGCATTCTTTTTTAGTTCTCGGACATTTGTCTTTATCCCTTCCTTTACTCGGTTTCTGAGTCTAGGAATCAGAACATTTCTTCCCGACAAGGGGGTTTCTGGGTTTTCTTTTTCTCGGATAGATCTCACCAGAAATTGATTTTCCGAGAATCTGAAGTTTCTCCCTGAAGGTGTTATTTCTTGGAGGTTTTCCTTCATCAATCTTTGAAAGGTATTCTAATGGAGGTTTTTAAGCCAGATCGAAAAGATTTGGCAGTTCTTGCGTTTTCGGTGTTCTGAATCTTGCTCTTTCTGATGAAGCGGAGAAAAATCGTCATGTCTCCGATTGGGTTCGTCGCCATTGATAGATTCTTAGTGTTTCTCGTGTAGTAACCTGTAGGTTAAGGTCTTCTGATGAGGAGAGTTGTTCATTGGAAACCATGATACGTTTTAGGATTTGGGGAGCAGGGCTTGGATCATATTTTCTTCAGCCAAGAGAGCTGTGAAATAATCAATTGGAAATTGAGCCTTACCATTGGTCTTTCATTATTTAATGCGATCTCTTTGTCATATTTTCTTTATTTCGCCAATCTTTTTTAAAATCCAAAGGAGGGATGAATCTTGCTGAAACAAAGTGTTCACTTTCTTATTGTTTGAAGCTATAATTAGCATCCATGGGATCTTGTTTTGCTTTTACTTCACCAAGTTAAGCAGTCTTTTTTGCAGAGGAAGCAAAACATCTATGGTTCACTCAAGTGGATTCAGAGATTTTCCCAGTTTATCATTTTTTTTTCTTCTCTAAGATTGTCAAACTTGACAATAGCGACTGCAGATTAAAAAGGACTCCAGTCTGTGTCTTGAACTATGGTCCCCGCCATTATGTTGAATTTGATTAACAGATAGGTCTTTGGTGGGTCTTCTTCTGAAAGCTTGTTGGAAACAGGAAAAAGTTTGCCATCTGATTTCATTGTTCGTTTCCTCAGAATGCCACCGTATAGACTGAATTCTTCGGTTGTTCTCGCAGGACAATGTCCCAGAAGGTTTTGGCATTGCCGGGAGACAATAGTTTTGTTGGTTCACCAATCTCTGAATGCAATGAGAATTCCTCTGGTTTGAATGTGCAAAGATACAACTTAATCAGCGCGACTATTTCCGAAAATGCTGGCTTAAGGAATGAGGTTAGTGAAACTGATGATGGTGTAGGAGACATGGATAATGCCGACGAGAATTCACCATATATTGGGCACAATACTTCAAACAGAGAGCAGCACTCCATAACCATATGTGATGAAGATCTGGGTGTTACTGTTTCGCCATTGCCTTCAAGCTCTGCATCTCAGAGCAACGAACGCAGGTGGAGTGACACAAATGCATATGCGCGGAAGAAGGTATTCACAGTAATTTTATGATGATATTTTCATTATCAAGGAAGAAAGTATATTTTGACTCCGAAAAGTAGATGCACTCAAACAGCCTGCAGTTCAAAGTTATGTGAATGCATATCGCACCCAGATCTCTGATGAAATTTTTTACCACATTAAGCCTTAAACGATATTGACTCTGCTGAAATTCTCTGATGCCCTTAGACCTCCATTGGTCCCCCTTTTGCAACAGCAGTATGTAGAGACTCATAATCTCTGCTGCACTACTACGTGCTCTAGACAGGTTATGCATCAGCAGTAGGTTAGTTAATGCCACTTGAAGATAGTGTTATGGTCACTTTCAGATCATTGAGTGACTGTTTCTTGGTGTTTTCCAGACCAGCCTTTTTGACTCACGGCCTTTAGATATTTGAAAAAAATGTGGGAAACGTAGTTCTAATATTTGGGAATTGAGAACAACTTTGTACTTTCAACGTTAGAGGAAATGTTTCTTCCTTCCTTTACACACGATCTTGTTATTTGCTTTCAGATAGTCATACGTCCTTTCTATTATGAGTCCCATGTTCATCACTCTTCACGTGGATGAAGATATATCTATTGCTTTTCCCATTTATTGTTATTTGAACAATCATGTTTTCATTGTTCCAGCATCCAATGTAATTTTGACTATTTAAAATTCTAGATGCTACAGTCTTGGGTCCAACTTCCGAATGGTAATTGGGAGCTGGGGAAGATATTGTCAACTTCAGGAGAAGAGTCTATTATTTCATTGCCAAGGGGAAATGTAAGTGACTTTTCTGAATTCCTTAAGGTAGATGCTGATGAATATTTGAATGTATGATTAGATTATCTGATTGAATACTGCTTCTTCGCTTGATTAAGCAGGTTTTACAGGTAAGATCAGAGATTCTAGTACCAGCAAATCCTGACATTCTTGATGGCGTAGATGATCTCATGCAACTAAGTTACTTAAATGAGCCATCTGTGCTGTATGATCTCCAATACAGATACAACCAAGACATGATCTATGTAAGTTTTTGTGTTGATATACTTTTAGTACATCATTCCCTGATTCCATCATAAAAATTTATAGGTACTTAAAGCTTTTTTAATGCTATACTGTGTGGTGCTAGACTAAAGCTGGACCGATTTTGGTGGCTGTAAATCCCTTCAAGGAGGTTCCTTTATATGGAAACCGCTACATTCAAGGATACAGGAATAGGTCAATTGAGGGCCCTCATGTATATGCAATTGCTGATACCGCAATTCGTGAAATGATACGGGGTGGGTTTGAGTTTTCTAATTTTCAACAGTCTTGACATAATCCTTTGAGTTCTCATTCTTCTTTCTGTTTCTGTTTTCTTGTTCCAGATGAAGTTAATCAATCTATCATCATCAGGTCAGTGTAAATTTCCTCCTAGTAAACTGGATGTAAGACTTCTCATGAGGTTAGAAAGAAACTAGATTTGCAACCTTAGCAGTGGATCTGAGTTCCTATATTTACTCTTTCATTCTCCCTCTTGCTTACTGGCCATATCTTGTTTGAGTAATGTGATTCTGGCATGGTTGGGTAAATCTGTTTGTCAAAGATGCATTGTGCATTTAACTGTAAAGTGCAGTAGTTGTGTAACACTGGATGTTTCAATGTTAAACATTTCCATTTGTTATAATTGTTTTCTTATTTTGAGGTTTTGTTTCCATCCAGCGGAGAGAGTGGAGCAGGGAAAACTGAGACGGCAAAGATAGCTATGCAATACTTAGCTGCTCATGGAGGTGGAAGTGGGATAGAATATGAGATACTGAAGACTAATCCCATCTTGGAAGCATTTGGAAATGCAAAAACATTGAGAAATGATAATTCCAGTCGCTTTGTAAGCATTTCCTTTTGCTTTTTGTATACGTTTTAAATTATTCTTTACATATCTTTTAAAGTTTTGGGATGAAGATGCTATTCGTAGAAAGAACAATTTTCAAGTGTTGATCATGATGTTTCTTTTTTATATTTAAATTTTAAATTGACAGGGAAAGCTAATAGAGATTCATTTCAGTGAAACTGGAAAGATATCGGGTGCGAAAATTCAAACCTGTAAGTGTAAATCTGAATTTGCTGTTTCATTTTGTTTGTTCTTCTCTATTACAAGCTAAGTTGCTAACTTATCCTTTTGCTTTTTGATTCTTCAAATGTTGCAGTTTTACTTGAAAAGGTAACTTCTTTAAAATTATTTTCTCCTGCTTGAATTTCTTTTCTTCTAATATGATTTGTTAACCTCGAAATACTTTGTCAGTCTAGAGTGGTCCAATGTGCTGAAGGAGAAAGGTCGTATCATATATTTTATCAGCTTTGCGCTGGGGCTTCACCTGCGCTTCGAGGTACAACTAAGGTTGATTTGTCAAAGGAGCCGATTTTAAAGAGATGGAAAATTAGTATACTAGTTCTTGTATCCTTAGGAATTCTCTCTTTTCGTCCAAATTTATTGATGATAGTTGTAACCATGTCTTTAATTTGCCTTACTTTAATTTTTGTGTTCATTTTTGTAGCTTAATTATAACTCAAGTCAAATGCTATTTTACTGTATAGAGATCCGAGTTCTATTATTATATTAATATTTTTGTCAACATAATCTAGAAGTTCACATTAATTGATTGTGTGTGGAACTATATTTTTTTCTTACTTTTTTCTCCTCTGAATGTCAACTGCAGAAAAGCTCAATTTGATGAGTGCACATCAGTATAAATATGTGGGACAGAGTAACTGCTATTCGATCGATGGGGTTGATGATGCTGAACGTTTTCACTCTGTTATCGTAATTTCCTCTTTTCCATTGGCTTCCTCCCTTTCCCATACTCACTTTCGACATTTATTTCGATATTTTGCCAAAGACCTAGTATACTGAATTTGAAATGGAGCATGCCTGTGACCGTAATTGCTGTTGCAGGAGGCTCTAGACATTGTGCATGTTAGTAAAGAAGATCAAGAAAATGTATTTGCAATGCTTGCTGCAGTGTTATGGCTGGGGAATGTTTCCTTCACAATTATTGATAGTGAAAACCACGTTGAACCTGCAGCAGATGAAAGTAAGTCTCTTTAGAACCTTATTATATATCTCTACTTCACTTAGTAGGTAAAATTGATATCCTAGTAGGCGTCCTGTATCTATTTTGTGCTGAATTTCAGCATACTCCTCTTCTCTGCCCTCTCCTTTCCGGATTTGTTGTTTTGGTGGGGGCAGTTCTATCTTTTTGTTCTTTGGACATCTTGCATGCACAACTTCACTATAAAAACTAAATCAGCCTTGATTTTAGATATACAGATTCCTCGTGGCAATGTTTCCTGTGTTTTAGTTCAACTATTTCATGATTGCAGTTCCTCTAATGATTGTCATATTTATATTTTCCAGATACTGTTTGTTTTGTTTACTACCTTTGTATTTTTATTGCCATTCTCTTGGATATTGGTTTTCAGATTTTGATAATTGTCACTCCGTTGCTTTATCTGTCTGGGTGCAGCTTGACTTGCGACTCTCTAACACTACCTGAACTGCAATATTTGTTACTTTCAGGTTTGTCAACTGTTGCTCAATTGATTGGGTGTAGCATTAACGAGCTTAAACTAGCTTTATCTAACCGCAAGATGAAAGTTGGAAACGATACTATAGTACAGAAGCTAACGTTATCACAGGTAAGTTTTACAAAGAATGCTAGATTTGGTCTTTTATGCAGAATTTTATATGGAGTAGGCTTATAGGGTTAGAATAGGTAGGCCTCTCAGTAAGACCTTTTTTCATCATTTGTTTGTGATAACATCCTTCATTGGAGATCTCAAGCTCAGTTCTTCATACTGAATATTCCTTGAGAAGAAAATATCTCCGGCCCACCTCAAGTAAGAGATCTCCTGATTTTAAGCTATGGGACTAACTAACCTGAACATAATTCCCTTAAATCAGGGGAGTCTTTATGTTGCACACGTTTTGTCATGAATGCTTATTTTCCACTTCAAGTTTGTCAACTGGAGGCAGTGGACGGCCCCTCCTGGTTCTTCATATAAAGTTATAAAAGGAATGCAAATTAGGCAACTACTTTGTGTAATACTCATCAAATCTAGTTATGAAAATAAAGATACATCAACCTTCCCCCTTGATTTGTAGAATATCGAATGCCATGAGTTGACTTGTGGTTATATTATATTTCTTACGCCTCTTAACTGTTTTTTCATCCCAGAATTGACAATATCCTGAGGTTCAGTTTCAATGACTCAAAGAGTACTTTACTTTCTTATACTAGACATATTAAATTTTTAGCTGAAATTATTTATGATTTTCTTTCAGGCCATTGATACAAGAGATGCTTTAGCAAAATCAATCTATGCCTGCTTGTTTGACTGGCTGGTTGAACAAATCAATAAATCTCTTGCAGTGGGAAAAAGGCGAACTGGCAGATCCATCAGCATTCTTGATATCTATGGCTTTGAATCATTTGATGTATGGTCCTGCTTGTCTTTCTGTGCTTTCTCTGGATAAAATTACATAAGCTACGCCCTTAGGCTATGACACATTACCAGTTACATCCCTTATAGTGACAGAAGCTTTTCAGCAGATGAATTCTTGATTGTGGATGAAATAGGGACGAGTACATAACATTATAAGATGGAGAGAGAATAAAAGATTATTTCAAAAACCTTTCTGGAAGCTAATGGCATAAGAAAACTGCCTGTCTTGTGGTGAAAGCCTGCATATATTGCCTTACTGTCTGTTAGTAAATTCATCTGCTAAAAATGCTATTGCTTGGAAGGTGTATTGTGTTTGTTTCCGTCCGTAGAACCTGTGACCTTACCATGTTAAAAGTTCAATATTTGGCTGTATCCATGCTTTTAGTGTCTCTGCTTTTGCAATAGCCATGTTCTTGTGGGTATGCATGCTACCTTTCGTGTAACATTGCCGTTTTCTCCTGCAGAAAAACAGTTTCGAACAGTTCTGTATAAATTATGCCAACGAGAGATTGCAGCAACATTTTAATCGTCATCTATTCAAGCTGGAGCAGGAGGTAAACTTATTTTATCTCTTTGCGAACATAACGGCTTGTTTAGTAAATGCAGAAGGTAATGCATTCGGATAACAGTATGATCTAATAGCTGAAGTTTCTCCACTTCGAAGGGAATAATATTTCTTTCCTGCCTTTCCAGGAATATATCCAAGATGGCATTGATTGGACGAAAGTTGATTTTGAAGACAACCAGGATTGTCTTAGTCTCTTTGAAAAGGTAAACTTATACTGACTTTAATATCTAGTATCAAGCAATTTAACCTGTACTAGGTCTGGATTCTGGAAGCCTGTAAAATGTTGGTTATAATTTCTTATTGCTTGTAAACCTCCTTGTTACTTTTTGTATTCTTTCACTACATTGCTCCATGGTTAACAACTGGACGTGCTGATGTTGATGTTATTTACTGGTTTTCGATGATTATGATATCATCTTTTGGGGAAATGTTTCGTCGTAGTTTGGGATGTCTTCTATGCAGCTAAGTCTCAATTTTCTGTGCAGAAACCACTGGGACTGCTCTCTCTTTTGGATGAGGAATCCACATTTCCCAATGGGACAGATTTAACACTCGCCAACAAGCTTAAACAGCATTTAAATTCTAATTTGTGTTTCAGAGGGGAACGAGGAAAGGCTTTCACAGTCGAGCACTACGCGGGAGAGGTAATAGCTCTAGGCTCTCAGTGTCTCCATTTAATTGTTAAAACAGATGGGATGTCGAAAAGGGATGGCAAATGGTTAATGACCCTTTTGGGCTCTGTTTTTAGTATAACTAGATTGAAAACGGAACCCTATCTTGGTCATGAATTTTTTCTTGCTAATTGAACTTGTTTTTCAAACTCAGGTTACATATGATACGTCTGGATTTCTAGAGAAAAACAGAGACTTGTTGCACTTGGATTCTATTCAACTTTTGTCTTCATGCTCTTGCCACCTTCCTCAAGCATTTGCTGCTAGTATGCTCATTCAATCTGAGAAACCTATTGCTGGTCCTCTATATAAAGCAGGTGGAGCTGATTCCCAAAGACTAAGTGTTGCCACAAAATTTAAGGTATGGATTTTTGGCCTTCAACACAAACCGATTGCTTCTAGTTCTGCAAGAGAAACATACGTGAATATTTGGTTACCACTTTGTTTAGCACATTAGGAAAAGCTGGTGCATGCATGTGATGTTATTAATATGGTATACATAGATGTTTAATATGCAGAAATTTTGGGCTACCAATTTAACAAATGTAAATTAAATTCTTACCGGCCTTTGAATTCTCAAAACACAGCCTTTATCACATTTTGTGGTTAGCACGTCACAGAAAGCTATGACAAAGTTGTGAATCTGTCTCATTACAGTCAAATGGAGTCTCTGTCCCTGCAATAGCCATTCTTATCCTAAAGGCTTCTGCTTTGGCTATGATTTCCGAGAGAACATTTGAGTGATTGCCTTGCCCGGATATTTTGTTCAGGGTCAACTGTTCCAACTTATGCAACGTTTAGGAAACACCACCCCACATTTCATTCGCTGTATAAAGCCAAACAACGTTCAGTCTCCTGGGTTGTATGAGCAAGGGCTTGTGTTGCAGCAGCTAAGATGTTGTGGGGTCCTAGAGGTGGTTCGGATTTCGCGGTCTGGATTTCCTACAAGAATGTCTCATCAGAAGTTTGCTCGAAGGTGGGGAACTCCTTCATTCGGTAGCTGCACTTTCATTTTTTAGCGATGGGCTGTATGAGCTTTTCTTATTTAGTTGTAATTTTGTTGAAATGCTATTGAGGTGGTTCGTCTAATCATGCTTCAGGTATGGTTTCCTACTGCTGGAGGACATTGCAGTAAAAGATCCTCTTAGTGTTTCAGTTGCAATCCTCCATCAATTTAATATTCTGCCGGAGATGTATCAAGTTGGTTACACAAAACTGTTTTTCCGAACTGGCCAGGTATGATAAATAACTGAAGTGTGACTTTCTTCTGGAGGGTCTAGAAATAAGACTTCTATGCCATTTCATCCAATTATAATGAAGTGAAAGAAAAACTTGGTCGTTATACTTTCATTGTTGTTGAGCAGTTGAATTATTAGCCTAATTGGTCTGATTGGTGTTCAATGTTCTTAATACCCTAGGAGATAATTAATTAACCCTTTTCCTTGTTTGAAATTTTTGCCACAAATATTCTATGCAATTCCTTGCCCTGATATTGAGGAGATAAACATCTTTGTATTGGTTAAAAGGGGAATTTTGGGGAAAGTCTATTTGAGCCTTTTCGATATGTTTTGTTTTGGTCGTGTATCTTCCTAGTGGTATGATGAAGTTTGTGGAATGCATGTAATAAATGACATACATCTCAGATCGGGGTTCTTGAAGATACAAGGAGTCGTACTCTCCATGGCATTTTACGCGTTCAGAGTTTTTTTAGGGGACACCTAGCACGCCTTCATATGAAGGAGCTTAAAAGAGGGATAGCTAATCTTCAGTCATGTATTCTCCCTTGTCCCATTTTTCAAATCTTGGTTTGGATTATAATTTCCTCATCGATCATTTTCAAATTTTAACTTGAGTTAATTCTTTTTCCTACCTCCCTTTTTACAGTTGTTCGTGGAGAAAAAGTAAGGAAGGAATACATGAAGTTACTACAGAGGCATAGAGCTGCTGTTGCTATACAAAGACAGGTTAAGAGCAAGATTGCTAGGAAACAGTACAAAGGCATGCTTGATGCATCAGTTGTGATACAATCAGGTAAAAGTTTCGCTGTTACTTGTTAATCTTGTCAGAGAAGACGAGGTCAAGATCATTTCCGTCTATGACCTCTCAGGAAATGATTAAAAAAAATGAAATCATAGGAAATGTCAATGATAGTTTAAAGCCTTTCTGCAGTTATTCGCGGTTGGCTGGTGAGAAGATGCTCTGGGGATATTGGATGGCTAAAATCTGGAGGCGTTAAGGTAATTTTTACTTTTACTGCTGTAAGGTTGCGGGTCTAAGTTTTTACCTCTAAGTTCTCCACTATAGCTGCGATGATAAATGAAAGTCCTTTGATGATTTCTTTTTTCTTTGCTTCACACTAACCCATTCCTTGCACAGAGAGACGAGTCAGAGGAGGTGTTAGTGAAGGCATCAGTACTTGCTGAACTTCAGCGCAGGGTTCTTAAGGCCGAGGCCGGTCTGCGTGAGAAAGAAGAAGAGAACGATATTCTTCAACAAAGACTCCAGCAGTACGAGAACCGTTGGTCTGAATACGAGACGAAAATGAAATCCATGGAAGAAATCTGGCAGAAACAAATGAGATCCTTGCAATCAAGTCTCTCTATTGCAAAGAGAGGCTTAGCAGCCGATGACTCTGAAAGAAACTCAGATGCATCAGTCAATGCAAGCGATGGCACGGACTTGGATTCAGCGAGTAATTTCAGGGCCCAAACGAGTAATGGAGGAGGGACAAGGCCTATGAGCGCGGGTCTGAGCGTTATAGGCCGTATGGCTGAAGAATTCGGGCAAAGATCTCAAGTGTTCAGCGACGATGCGAAGTTCTTGGTGGAAGTGAAATCTGGTCAGGTGGAAGCAAATCTGAATCCAGACATGGAGCTTCGTAGGCTGAAACAGATGTTTGAGGCTTGGAAGAAGGACTACGGGGCGAGACTCCGGGAAACGAAACTGATACTTGGCAAGCTTGGGAACGAAGAATCCGGGAGCTCGGTGGAGAAGGTGAAAAGGAAATGGTGGGGAAGGAGGAACAGCACGAGGTATTTTTGAGCGTTTTCTTTCGAGTTTTTAGAAGCAAACGCTCTGAGTTTGCTTAAGAGTTTGGTGTGTGATCTGCTTGTGGGATATATGGCCATTGAAGTTTGCAAAGTAGTAGCAAAATGTTGTTATTGAGTGACTGCCATTCATAAACCACGGGTATATTTAAAGCTTGTACATCACTTTGAACCCAGAAGAAGATGTGTTTGTGCTTATTTATTGTTTCCTCATCTTGCTCCTTCTCTTGTTGGAATGTGGCTGTGTATATAATATATATATGTGTGAATATATATTCCATCAGTGTTTGAACTGTGGATCCAATAAATCTTTTTACGCAATTAATTTAAATTAAAAAAATTAATATCTTGATAGTGTGTTTTTATTTATTTTTGCTATCCTACCGGTACAGCTAAATTTAAGACATTTACATTGGACGAAATATGTAAGACATTTACATTATTACTTTTTTTTTGTAATGCTTGCATTTTTTTTTTCATATAGAACTCTTGAATTTGTAATTTTGTATATTTTCAGTAATTAATTTTTAAAACCTTTTTTTTTTCAAGCGCAGCGATTTTTGTTTAGCTTTTTCCATCGCAAACCTAAGTTTTGAAGCTGCGAAAGACCAATTGAGTCGAGATATTTTTCTCGTCATTTTGTTCTTCCGCTCATTTTCGTAGCGAGCCCTCTCTCTCTCTCTCGTTCTCCATTCATACGAAACCCTAGCGTAGCGGACTATGTTCTGGTAGATCTATTTTGCTTGATTTTTTTAGACGGAGAAAAGCCGCCAATTGAAATCAGCGTAAGAGGAAGGATTATTACCGGCAGCTCCACACATATAGTGGAAGAACACGCCATGGATTTGGATCAATGGATAACGAAGGTTAAAGAAGGCCAACATCTGACGGAGGACGAGCTTCAGCTTCTCTGCGAATATGTATACTTTCTTCTTTCCTTCCGTCGATTCTTGGTAGCTGTCTCTTCTATTAGGATTCATGTATTTGCGAACGCGTTGCTCTGGGCATCGATTTGCTTTGTCAGGAGCTTGTTTATTCTTTTTTTCTTTGTTTATCGGTATCTTGGGAAGAATACGACCTCGAATTTGGTCTGTCCTTCATTCCCTTTTTTTCGATTTCTCTATTTTAGGGTTTCTCGTCGCTGCCCTTATACCATGTTGTTCTCAGAAATCGGTATCTTGGAAAGATTTCGATGTATTTTAGGGTTTAAGTTACGAAAGAAAATAGTTTGCTTATTGTCAATTTGGTGGAAACAGCTTTTCTTAAATTTTCTTAATTTTGGAATTTGGAGCATACTTGTTTTCCTTTCTCAGCATTTATGTATAGGTAACCTCACGATTCATTTCATATTGGTACAGGTAAAAGAAATTCTCATTGAGGAATCAAATGTACAACCTGTCAACAGCCCAGTCACTGTTTGTGGTGATATCCATGGCCAGTTTCATGATCTTATGAAGCTTTTCCAGACTGGAGGTCATGTTCCAGAGACAAATTACATATTTATGGTATGATTTGTATGAACCTTTTTTGGATGATATCTAGTATGACCCATTCCCAGCACCCCCACTAGTTGTGTTGGTCGTTTTATCTAGTATGACCCATTAGTTGTGTGGAGCATAATGTGCTTTTGGACCTCGGCAGGGCGATTTCGTTGATAGAGGTTACAACAGCCTTGAAGTTTTCACGATTCTTTTGCTCCTTAAAGCAAGGTCAGATTATGTATAATATTGTACAAACACTAGTGACGGTTGAATTACGTCTCCCATTTTCCATTTGATTGTTGTGCTTTTTTATGTGGTTGATAGTAAATGGTTATCTGGTAAATGCTCGTATTGACCATCATAACTTAATAGTGTGTGTCAAATTTGTCCAAAAAAGAAATGGATGCTTCTCAATCAACTCATGGGTTTTTTTTTTATGCGCAGTCTTTAATAGTGTGAAATTTAAGTTTCTCACTTCTCTTCTGTTGTCGGGTGTCTTTTCTGGGAGCTGTTAATTGCGTTTTCTAATCATTTCACCATTGTTTTCCATTCTGCAGATATCCTGCTAATATTACCCTTTTGCGTGGAAATCATGAAAGTAGACAGCTAACACAGGTGTAGTATTCTGTGCCTCAATTGTCTGTTTATGCTATGCACATCTCGCCTACCTTGGGAATAATGGACTTCAATTTTCGTGCCTAATGTATTTGTTATAACATACTTTTGAAAATTCCAATTTTGCATATTTGGGTATGCCATGTGATATGTAGACATAGGTGTTTGTTGAGGTGTCTGTAATTTCAGTTATCTGGAGAGGTAAGTACCACAAGATTCTTGCTTTAAATGGTAATAATTGTCATGTCTTCCTCCTTAGCAGTTCATGATTTAAGTTTTCCTGCATTGTTATATTATTGTAACATGTACAATTTTTTATATACAACGGTAGATATATTGATAAATTAGCCAATTTGAATAGTAAGGGCACTAGTTTAGGAATTCACTTGTCATTATCTTCTTCAGTTTAAATTCGCAGTACTAGAGATTCTTCCAACAGTGAAATTCTTATTTCACCCTATGATTGGATTCTGGCATTCAGATACTTGTTACCCTGGAATGATTTCTCAACCAATTGCTTAAGGCCACTCCACTGTTGAGATTCCAGAACGAACTCATAGTATGCAATTCAAAATATTTTCCTCAAATTTGCTAATTGTACGATGAAAACTGGATCAGGTATCTAGAGTATTGGATTTCAGTTTTTTGTATTACCTGGGGCTTTTTACATGAAAACCTAAGCATCTACAAGTCTCAGAAACTTGTGTGAAACAAGACAAACCAATGAAGAGATGGATGCTTTGCTTTGGATGTAGGGCTGTACCTTACGTTCTCTGTTGTTGTTTTGTGTATTTGGAGGATCATATTTTACATGTATCAGCAAATGGACAGCTTAATATGTCTCTAGAGATTCATCTTCAATACTTATTACTATATGGGCAACTTAATATCAATTTTATCTTTTGCAGGTGTATGGCTTCTATGATGAATGCCAAAGGAAGTATGGTAATGCCAATGCTTGGCGATATTGCACTGATGTTTTTGACTATCTAACTCTCTCAGCTATTATAGATGGATCTGTAAGTCTTTCCTTTTGGATCTTTGAAAGTTTATGATTCATATTCGTCTAGAATTATGTGAATGCATATCTTTCTGAATATTGTAATAAAAATCTACTGCTTCATTGATGAAGGTTCTGTGTGTTCATGGTGGTCTTTCCCCTGATGTACGGACAATCGACCAGGTTAAAGCTCTTTCGCTTTTCCTTTTTTGTTCTTCCATTATGCTTATGTCTTACTCTTACAAAGCAATTCATTCTTAACCTCACCCACTTACTTTTTTTTAAATTTTATTTTGTCCTGTAGATAAGACTCATTGAACGAAATTGTGAAATTCCACATGAAGGACCTTTCTGTGATCTTATGTGGAGTGATCCTGAAGATATTGAAACGTGGGCTGTCAGTCCACGAGGAGCTGGTTGGCTCTTCGGATCCCGGGTTTCTTCTGAGGTAATGTTATACTCCTGAATCTTGAATTTATGCTGTAAGTTAGGAATCAATTTTTGTAAATTCCAAACTGATAGGGATACTATACATTGTACTCGAATTACACATGCATCATCTGCTTCACTTCTTCGATACTTTAATGCCAATTGATGCTGTTTCTTAATTTAACTTTTCGGTTGATTCTTGTGCAGTTCAACCACATCAATAATCTTGATCTAGTTTGCCGGGCACACCAACTTGTGCAAGAGGGTCTCAAGTACATGTTCCAAGATAAAGGCCTAGTAACTGTAAGAGTCTGATTTCTATGACCAAATTCCTTTTAAGCTTATGATGTGTAGAAGTGTAATCCTTTTTATGAGGTTATCTTTTTTTTTTTTTAAAACTTGAAGGTGTGGTCAGCTCCCAATTATTGCTATCGCTGCGGGAATGTGGCTTCTATATTGAGTTTCAACGAGAACATGGTGAGCCATTTGATCATTTCATTTTACTGGATATTCTAGTTTCCCACTGTGCATATCCCACCTGCTCTTTACACCACTATTTGCTTTAATTTACTTATACACATTGATCTTATGATGATTTGAAAAGAGTATAGGAATATGAAGAAATGAGCTCTTATGAAAAGTATTTGAAAATTGAAATTATTTTGCATAATCTTGACGCTGTGTTTTGTTTCCCCCAAGGGATCTAAAAAAGCCGTGGATTTGTGCCTTTCGAGTTTTCCACCATTATTCCGTTTTGATCTCTCTAATATTAACAAGATAAAGCAGAGAGAGAGAGAGAGAGAGAGAGAGAGTATTTGGTTAAATAATGCATTGCATCTTTATGTTCATCCATAGAAGTCTCTTGGCGGGAAGTGTTTTAGGAGCCAATGATAGAGTAGGTTTATGATCTTGATTTGATTTGATTCTCCAGGAAAGGGAAGTGAAGTTCTTCACAGAAACAGAAGAGAACAATCAAATGAGAGGGCCGAGGACCGGAGTTCCATACTTCCTTTGATCATGGCCGCCAAAAACCATATTATTGTGATGAAGCAGAAGAAGCCATTTATGTGCAATGTACGTTTTTCAGCTTCTACTTTTGGAAATATGTCTGCGTGACCTGATGATGGTGATGTTACACAATGCATATGCTGCTTTTGTATGTAAGACCCTCGCCTGTCCCTTTTTTTTTTTTTTTTTTGAATTGGCTTTGGATTTTATTCATATGATTCATTACCATTTTGTGATGAGGGCTCGGCTTTTGGAGAGGGAAAATTTTTAATATGAATTGGTTTTGGGTTTTAATTTGGAAGATATCTTTGTTAGGCTTGAATTTGTGATTTTATAAATAAAGACTTTCCCGAACCCTAATGCTGGTTTTGAATTTTGATATTTATGGAAATATTGTTACAATATTCCCAAATAAAGAAATAATTGTTACACAAACTGATTTTGCTAATTTAATATTTTTCCATTTGACAAGAATATGTAATATTTCGAATAAAAAAGAAGGGAAAATACATATAAAGAGATAAGGTCCGTCTAAAAGATGAACTTCTTGGATGCCCCACAACTGTCTCCTTCAACAAACACCCAAAATTGGAGAGAGGGAGAGATCCTGGGGATTTTTGTTCTCTACAGAGTTTGGAGAGAGAGAGAGAGAGAGAGATAGAGAATGGCATCGTCACCATCGGCAGAACAAGCCCTTCTGGAATCGGCACGTCCATTCCTACGAGGAGAGCTCGAGAACATCGATCCAAAGCTTCCGTCTCTGATCTCCGTCCTGAAATCCGTCGGCGCCGGAGAGTGTTGGCACAAACACGGATCCTTCCTAGACCATTTGATCGACATTTACAAAATCCTCAAGATTTGGAAAGCTCCCGATTCCATCTGCCTCTGCGGTCTCTTCCACTCTGCCTACTCCAACTCCTACGTCAACTTGGCCATCTTCGATCCTTCCACCGGCCGAGACGTCGTCCGCAACCACGTCGGAGAGGTGGCCGAGTCACTGATCCACTTGTTCTGCATCGTCCCCAGGCAAACCCTAATCCATGACGACGTTCTCTTCAGGTACTCGGACCTTGAACTCCTCGACCACCTCGAGAAATCCGCGTGCTCGACAAGAAACGCGAAGGACAAGGGACGTTTCGACAGGGAAGAAGCCTGGAGGAAGAAGCTGAACCATGTCTTGCCCGAGAACGGGGTGATCGTGAAACACATCAAGAACGGCGAAGACATCGTTGTATCGAGGAGGATGGTCGGAGTTTTCCTCCTGATGACAATGGCGGATTTCAGCGACCAGCTTTTCGGTTTCCAAGACGAGCTGTTCGAGAATTTCGACGGGCGTCTCGAGTTTCGCGGGAACAACGTCACAGCGTTGTGGCCCGGGAACGGAAAGCCGGGACTGTGGATGAGCTCGATCTCGAGAATGGGAGCGATTTACAGTTTGATAGTAAGAGAAGAAGAGATTCTGATGGAAGAGAGGAAAAGGGTCGGTGATGTTTCAGTGAAAAAGGAGAGGGATGAGGACATTGAGCTTGTGGTGCCTCCAGTGTTCAACCACTGCACCAAGGTATGTATATTCAAAATTCTTAAAAAGTACTGTTTCAGTTTCTGGTTTCGATTGATTCATATATTGTATGTTCTTCATAAATCAATAGGGGTTACCAGAGAAAGAAATCATAAGAACCAAAAAGGATCATTGTAAATAGACACATGCATATACACACACACACAGAGTCGCACACATACAAGAAGATATGGAAAAAGGGTACACTTAGATTCTGGTTTTATAGTGTTTGTTAAGATTAGAAACAACACACACATATATATATATATATATATATATATATATATATAACAAAATCATGGGAGCAGGTGTTGGATGCAAGAGAGCAGATAGAAGCAAGAGACATGTACTGGGAAGCTGTATGCAGCGAAGGCAACTTGGAGAAGGCAGAGGAGTTGCTGTTGAAATGTATAGAGAAGAACCCATTCGTAGGGGAGCCTCATGTTGTGCTGAGCCAAGTTTATATGGCGAATAAGATGTACGGAGAAGCAGAGAGGGAGGCGGAGAAAGGGATGGTTCTTCTTCTGGAATGGGGAAGCCCTTGGGACAAGAGGATGTCTTGGGAAGGTTGGATTGCTTGGGCTAGGGTTTTGCTCTTGAACTCTCACGACAGGTCCTGGCCCTCTCTCTCCTGGGGCATCTTGAACTTGGGTCTTGTCCGTTAGATCCTTCTTTTTTTTTCTTTTTTTTTTTGCAAGATTATATGCAGAAATAATGTCGTTGGCATGATCTCTCTTTTTTTTTTTTTTTGTTAAACGTTGGCATGATCTCTTCGAGTACAGCTAACTATGTTTCTATATGTTTTAGATGAATAAGGAGAAGATATTGTGTTTCATCTTTGTGTTGGATCCATTGTTTCAAGATCGATTTAGGAAGCAGAAAATCCGCATATTTCGGGTTATAAAACGAAAGAAGAATTAAGATTAGTTTGAATGTACAGAGTTTAAAAATATCGGTTTATAGTTGAACGAAATTCAAAATAATTCGTTGTTTATAAAAAAACGATTTGTTTTTTTGGATTTGATTCTTCGAAAGTGTGGAATTAGTGCTGAGAAATGGTTTCTAATATAATGATTTATTATCAAGTTCTAAATTAATTTATAATTTTTTTAGTTAAAATTTTATACCTTACAAAAAGTTTTAAAAAAAAGCACACATCAAATAAAATCCGATGTTATATACCGTGAAATATTTTAAAATTCTTTATAAAATAGATTTTTTAAAATTCAAAATTTATAAAACTAATTTTAAAGTTAATAATAAAATTGGATTTGTTTGTGGGATTAATAGGAATATTTAAATGTTTAAATAAAATAATTCTTGAATTTAGTGTGTAAAATCCATTCCGTTCTGGTACATATTGGATTCCGCTATTCCACGTGTCATGAAGCGGCAAAGTAAACGAACCAGGCGAGTTTCACTTCGCCCAATGCAGAATGACAGCCTAAATGACGGCTGAACGGTTCTAAGCCGGTTTATGAACTAAACCGGGTATTAACATTTCTTCAATCGGTTGATTTATAAACCGAACCGGAAAACTTAACCATGATGGCAAAACCCTGACGCGAAAAACAAAAACCCGCAGCGGCGTAGCCTCCAAAGAGAAAAGATTCATCGCTTCGTTTCCTTTTCCATTCTCTCTCCCAAATCGCAGAAAAAGGGTTTGGCAGAGGCTTAGGCAGCGGCAATGGCGGGTCTTGAACCTCCAGTAGCGGTGGCACAAACCGATGCGAAGAGCAAAGTCGAGGAGAAAGTGGATTACACGAACCTCAGTTGCCCTATTCCATATGAAGAAATCCACCGAGAAGCTCTCAGTTCAGTATCAGAGACTTGTTCTCTATCTTCTCTCTGCGTATCTTTCTCCACTAGCTCTATTGTGACTTTTGCGTTTTGTGTGATCTTTATCTGAATCTGGATGCGTCGTGTTTGGGTTTCTGGGTTTCTCATCTGAATGATAGAACTAACGGTCTTGATGTGGATAAGTATCGTAAGAGTTGCATTGGTATCGTAGGATGAGAAATTGATTGTTATGTTTGAGCATTGTTGTGCGTACTTCAAGCATTTAGGGTATTGCATGAACTCTAATTGCCTGCGATGCAGCGTCTGTCACCATGCCCATTGATTGCCCTTGTTTCATGTGAAAAAGGATGATAACTTGTATTTATGGCTATGAATGCTTTTTTATTTTAACAGGTTCTTATGCCATTTCGAAACGATTGATTTGTTCGATTTTGCTTTGCAGTGTCTTATGTGGTGTAACCTTTGATTTTGTTTTCTTGGATTATTGAATAGTTTGATTTTTCTTTGCAGTGTCTTTAAAGCCTGAACTTTTTGAGGGTTTACGCTTCGACTTTACCAAGGGATTGAATTCAAAGTTTTCTCTTAGTCACAGGTAGCAAGATTCCGTTATTAAGTATATCTTCTACGTCCTTTCCTAGAATCCTAGGGTTCCTTGTTAATCCTGTTTATTGATGTTTCAAACAGTGTATTGATGGGGCCAACAGAAGTTCCTTCTCAGTCTTCTGAAACAATCAAAATCCCAACAGCACATTATGAATTCGGTGCGAATTTCATTGACCCAAAGGTCGGTTGTTTTCACTGAATCTGGCAATAAGTTTTTTGCTATTTTAAGGGTAGTCAAGAAGAAAATTGTCGAACCTCTAAACAGTTGATGCTTATCGGAAGGGTCATGACGGATGGTCGACTAAATGCGAGAGTGAAGTGTGATTTAACTGACAAGCTGACCATGAAAGCTAATGCTCAGGTAAAAAGGCAGCAATGGGAGGCATTTTATTTTCTTTATTAGTCGCCAGATAATATTTTCTTTTGGTTAAGAATCATAACTCCTATCCTTCTTTTCTTTTCCAGCTCACAAATGAACCGCATATGTCACATGCAATGTTCAACTTCGATTACATGGTTAGTAAACATTTAAGTACTTACTACTTACATGTTTTGGTCCCTCTGATGCAACTCTTTTGTGAGTAGTAGTTTGGGTGAGTTTGTCTAAGATTTTGATTTTCGTATCTGTGTAGGGGTCTGACTACAGGACCCAGTTTCAACTTGGAAATGGAGCCTTATTTGGAGCTAGCTATATCCAGGTAAAGTGGAAAACTGGAACATTCTTCAGGCATTATTTTTATTATTTGGACACTTTTGTGTGTGAAGGTGAACATGAGATGAAAGGAAGGCGATCTCAAAATATATGCCTTATGTTCGTTTTCTGGCACTATGTAAATAGCTTGTTTCCTAGTAAACTTGTTAACTGTAGAACCGAAAAGAACTGAGGTCCATAATGTTTCCTTGAGATGTTGTAGATGAGAATCTTGTCTGTCTTTCTATCATTCAACTTTGTGGTTATGGTGATGCTTTGGTCATAATAATTTTAACTAGCATCAGGTGCTCCTCCTATTCACTGAATTTTGTAATTATCTTACAGAGTGTGACACCCTCCTTAGCTTTGGGTGGTGAGGTTTTTTGGGCTGGCCAACATAGAAAGTCTGGCATCGGTTATGCTGCTAGATATGAGACAGATAAGATGGTAATGTTTCTTCATGATTATTTCTTGAGCTTGCAATTGACTATTTTTCTTATGAAGTTGTACTATTTGTTGTCTCTATTCGTTTACCATTCCAAATATTTTGCTATTTCTGAGTAAAAGTCTTTTAAATCAGTAAAAAAAATTATGTTGTTAACTCTGCCTTTCCACCAAGTCCTGTTTCATTTTCTTTTGAGAGCCTATAAAGAAACTTGTCTAGTTACTGAAATCTTCTTCTGATACACTTTTATCCTTCCGTCCTGAAATTTGAATTTCCATGTTTATTATTCATATTTCTGACTCGCAGGTCACCACTGGTCAAGTTGCTAGCACTGGTATGGTTGCCCTGAGCTATGTTCAGAAGGTCTCAGAGAAGGTGAGATACCGATCTCTTCTAAACGAATCTCAACTTTTCTGTGTCAAATGTGACTCTGATGCATTTTATTTTCTTTTTGCTCATAATAAGGTTTCGCTAGCGACGGATTTCATGTACAATTATATGTCGAGAGACGTTACAGCTAGTGTGGGCTATGACTACATTCTCCGACAGGTATGTCAAAACAAGTTTTTCTTGGCGGATATTATGCCTCCAACCGTCTGATCCATATTTTTACGGGATCCGAGTTTGTCAAAATCTTCAATTTATCTCGTGGGTGTTATTTTAGTGTCGGTTGAGGGGGAAAATGGATTCCAACGGTGTTGCAGCCGCTTACCTCGAAGAACGATTGAATATGGGACTCAATTTCATTCTATCTGCAGAGGTACCGGCTTTTTCATGATAATGTTGGCCTTACAATCTATGTTATATGGATTCCGTCATATTATCGATGCTTCTCTTCTTCAAGCTATTCACTCTCTCTTTGCACCCGTAATATAAACATGACAGCTCGATCACAAGAAGAAGGACTACAAGTTCGGATTCGGGTTGACAGTCGGGTGACTTGACAACCTCTAAAAAAAGGCGTAATAATTTGTTTGGAAGTGCTCGAGATCCCGAGAAAGAGAAATTTTATGTTAGATTTTAAATTGATTCTCTTCTTCAATTGTAGCTATGTACTCTCTTTCGGTGAAACATTGTTTTAGCCGTTGGATTCGGTTAAAATTTTTCCTCATTTCCCTAAGAATTCGAGTTTTAGGATTTCTCAGAGCTGTTGAAGGTATAAAAACAAACAAATATTTGCGGCTTAAGGTTTGCGTATGCGACGATAAGATAGTGCAGTGAATTTCTTTACCTTCAGAAACTTCTGCCTTCAATCGGTGAATTTCTGTTAACTCAAGAAACTGTAATGCTGTTAAATCTAGTTTTACCCCCTTTTGTTTTTAGGATATCTTAATCTATAGAGTATCTCGGATAAATAAATCTAATATAAAGTCCGAATTGAATATGTAAATAATCGAATCAAAATCAAACCCGAAAATGGTCACCGGTATATCGGTGTCGAAGCAATCCGTAGTGATAGTATCTATTTGACAAAATTATGTATAACGGTTACCGCAACCGTAACCAGTTACCGTCTCTTTCTGAGTTGTTTGGTATTTGAACAATACATAATGGGTTTTGCCTACCCAATTGAGATCTTACAGCGACATGATTGGTATTGATTATGGATACCAAGCTTTCAACCCTTTTCCTCAAACCAAACGCAACCGCAACCGCAACCACGACCGCGATCGCAGTCGCAACCGCCACAAACAGTTACCGCTCAAACCACCTACCTGCATCATTTGATATCTGATGACTGGGGTTTTTACACACCCTTGTGACATATATCATTCAAACATGGAAAAGGATAAGAAACTAAATGGTACAATTTCTGCCAAAAACTGAAACAATCACTCTTAACCGCTTTATTGGCCATTAACGTCTAATCTAGCTCGGGCCTGGTCTAGAACCTAAGGATCCTTACAAATCCGATGTCCGAAATTTGTAGTTTCACAGGCCAATACACTGTTTAAATGCCGGTTCACCTGAATAAATGCGCCTTTTCATCCATTGCGAGATACAAACTGCCAAAATGAAAGTACAACACCTTGCCCTTGAAGGCTCATCGCATTACCGATTCTTTAACAAAGGATCGCCCACCGGAACTGCAAAAAATTGCAAGATGAAGGAGATCACGAGGATAAGCTACAATAGAAAGAGAAGTTTTGCAGTTTACTCACGAGTATTCGAGGTGAATGTTCATGAATCTTCGGTTCTCCTTGCTCTGTGAGAGCGTAACCGAGCCTTCAATAACTTGATCTTGCTCCACATCTAGCGGCTCATAGAAATATACAATTGTCTGCCCAAATGATTCGGTTAAAAAACAAAATAAACTAAGTTTGATTTGTCTTGCTACTACTAAGTGTGGAAGCTAGTTCCTCAATTCTGGAAGCAGCGAAAGAACACCGTAAGGATAGTAACAAAAATAGTTCCAATTAAGATGAGTCAAGTTTAAAATAATCAGTAACTCCCTCAGTGTCAGGTGAATCAACCCACAAGTCAGGAAAACAAATACATGAAATTGTTATTGTTGCGTTGAAAAATTACAGATTTAGAGGTTTTGTGCTTAGAATATACAATAGACTCACATTTTTTCTGTTCTTTTTTGTCCACTAATGTTTTAAAAAACAAAACAAAAACTTGCGAGTCTAAATATTTTCAGCACAAAACCTATGAATATGAACGTTTTCAGGACAAGAGTACGAGTTCATGTATTTTAAGAACTTTTTTTATATGTTGTTAGAATACTTGAACAAGTCTGATTCTAAATCCTTTTTCCCTAAAAGATTCATGATAGAGAGTTTAGCAGAAGAGTGTAGGGGAATGTGTTTCACCTGCTGCCAATGAGTTGGAGGGGCCTCAGGGGCGGTGGACAACACGAGAGCGCTATTGGGATTAGCCCGTTTCTTTTGATTCTCATCTCCAACCTGATTCATTGATGAACCACTAACCACAGCTACACTGCGGTTATTTGTAGTTGAAGAGGCTGGCCCGCCGAATTCAACATCAAACCAAAATGCAAACCCATGCATAGGAGCTACAGCAAAAGGAGGAAGAAAGTGTAAAAGCAAAAGCTTCTGTGTGTTGCACACATGGGAATGGTCAGTATAAGAACGAGATGTACCTCTCATCATGGATGTAAATTTATATCTTGCAGTAACAGAGTCAAGCTCGTGAATTTGTGTTGAGTAACAATCCACGTGTTTAACCTGAATCATGAATAGTGTGTTTGCCAAGTATTTGACTAGTAAACAAATAGAATAAATAACTCTCTTGGCATGTGATAAAATAGCTAAGAACTCTCAAGATTAGAAGTGACGAGTACAGAAAGAAAAGGAAAATACCACTTGTGGCCATGTTAGAACATTCTCTCCAGTTATTGTCTCCACACTCGGTTCTTCAAACGCACACTGCTTAGCTAATTGCATCATTGCAGACACTACAAATAACATCATTACAGAAGCTTCATAGCAAGAAACCTTCCTTTGTACAACTATTTCCTGGTATTTATACTATTAGAATCTAGAGTAGATATGCCCAAGCATTATAGTAAGTACAAAGCAAACGCTTAAATTAACCCTCCTGATGAACCCAGCACCTCATGTTATATCCCTGAATCCGAGGATCCAAACATTTAGTTCTGGCCATATGGTCTCATATTAATCCATTTTATCACATCTGATCTGTCTGGGAGTTACTTTAACCTCTCTTCCTACTATTATGCTGGATACATTAATCTCAAATCTTGATTCACATACAAAGTGCAAATCACTATATCCGAAGAAAAATTGAAAGGATAATTCTCAGATTAAATAATGCAGCAGTATCATTTAAAATAACGGCTTTGGAAAAGTTGATGTCGATGATATAGTTTATACTTACTGTCAATTCCATAGACATTGCGCCAGAAATCGATGCTTTGACTGTATCTATCAGTGTGGGTGATAGGTGCCATGTATAGCTGCAATGAGAAAATAAACTCCCATCAAAATATTCATTAGATTATAAAACAAAGCAAAATCAAAGAATGAAAAAAAAAAGCTAGGTAATTCGATTAGCTTCAGGTACCAATAGAATAACTAGAAATTATACACTGGCTAGGCCTGAATGAATACAAAAACTGAGCAGTTGTATTAACTTCACATAATGTATTAAAGGCATTATGACAGAAGGGAAGGTCCACAATAAGATTTTAACAATACAAATCAAAGTACAAAGGGGTAAAACAACAAAGAATAGAAACAGAACGTAAGACAACAATAGTGGATATTGCATTTGGAGGAATTAGAACCATACTGTTGCATGTGATGGGAGAATTAGACCTCCACGCCTTAGCCAGCGATCTCTAGCAGTAATAACACTTCCCAGCATGCTCTACAGCTCCACATTTCAAAATGTAATACAAGAGTGAGAAAACAGAGAGTATTAAAGAAAGAGGGGATTATAATATGGTTAGGATTTGAGTTCACCGAACATTGACAAGCAAACATGAGATATCAAAATACCTCATACAAGAGCATGTAACCCATCCACTCTGAAATTATAACATCAACCTCCTCGTCGATTTCAACATCCTGACGCACATTACAAAAGAAAAATCAGTATAGATGATGAAGGCAAGCCATCTTTTAAAAACTATATTTTCTAGTAATGTATGTGCCAGCAAACAATTTTATCTCTACAACACTGCACAGGTACCTAAATGGTCCACTGCATTGATTTCTAAGCACATGTTATGGACAAGAAGCTTCAATGTATGCTCCCACATTCCACATTCTAGACATCCTCTAGAGAGCTAGGAAAATAGAAACAACAACCTCATGTAGGGAACTGTTTCTTCCACACATGTCCATATGAGATACTGAGATGTTAAAAGTCCAATTGACAAAAACAGACTGATGTTTCTGCCTAGAGAAAAACAATCTATAGCATAGAGATCACAGTTAAGCATGCCACCCATTATAATGCATAGGAACAGCCAGATATCAAACTACAGGAGAAAAGAATGTTACCTCCACCCTCCCGTGCAAAACAATGACTTTGTCAGTTAAACCATTAGCTTTTACGACTTCTTTTGCCTGGTGATGTTTAAAAGAATGTAAAAGAGCTGATGATAACTGAAAATTGTTCAAATTTCAAACTTAGTCACCTCAGTTAGAAAAAGGTGGAAATGAGCATCATTCCCTAGCCAAACACTTAATCCCACTGTAGGCGGTATCATACACCTTAAATTTAAATTGGGGAGCATTTTCTTTGTTCTGAGCAATAATTATAACCTAGTGATGGTATGTTGCAATGAGATTGCTGCAGTGGGAACTTTAAAAGTGAAACTCTCAAAATTCAAAATATTTCAACCCACCCATTATAACTTGGACTTCCCTAGTTTTTCACGATTTTGAAAGTTATTAGAAAGCTAAGACTATCATTGGGAACAATGTTATTGTCCCAGTTATTGAACAACAAAAGCATCTAGAAAAATACCTGTACTGCTATGTCACTTGCATCGACAGCATATACCTGTATGCAAAATTAATATTCATAAGAAACACATTTCCATATTGGTTTTCTCAACAGTTAGAAAAGTTTGCAGACAGAAAAACCACGTAACAGAGTCCCCCAAAATCCATGCCCATGATATACAGGCTATATTATTCACACCATGTCTTTGAAACTTGAGGTGCAAATTGTTTGAGATCAATGTCTATGTAAAAGATTTTTGTTACTTACCCGCTTCGCACCGGCCTGAGCACAAAAGATTGAAAGAATGCCTGTTCCACAGCCAACATCCACCACAACCTGCAAGGCAATAACAATTAGTTAATGCAGAAATGGACTTTAAACCACCAAAAACAAAATACCAAAGTTTGCTCAAACAAGTCTTCAAACACAGTAACCAGATAGAGAGCAAAGGCTAAAGGTGAAAAATATACAAGAATTCGGAGCAAGAATTTTTTGTTCCAATATCATTTCTGAAGATAATTGAACATAGTTCAGAAATTACAAAAGCCGGAATATTACTTTGCCTTGAATAAAATTCTGATGCTGCATGATGGCTGCCCTATAAGTTTCCGTCCTTGCACGATCCTACATCAACAAGTCAGATTTCGCATAAAAGTGCAACATGTAGAGGGGAAACAAGGAACAGGGTACCTCAAACTCGCAGAACGGAATTAAGAAGAAAATCGAAAAAAAGTGAAGATATGCCATTCAATTCGGTGAGAAAGCACTTCCTAATTCCTATTGATGCATAATTTATACCACTAACTTTTCATCCATTTTCCACAGACATTGTAGTTCCTTTTCCTTACAGAGGGACAGCAGATGGCTTGAAGTTTATGACTGAAATTCAAACTGCATGGGCAGTTGCGAACTTGCGACAAGTAAATGGAACCTGGAATTTGAAACCAGTAGCTAAAATTCCTAAACCTAGAAAGGGTTTAACCAAAATCCCAGTTGAGCCCACGATTAGCCCGTTTCATGACCGGTTAAGCTGACCATTTTCGAAAAATCCAATCCAATGCCGTACACAGAGCTCGACTCCCTCAATCAATCACAAGAATTCAACCCTAAAGTTCTAAACCTCAATCGACCACATTTAACTCAACCCCCACTAGAAGGTCGATCACAAGGCCAAACCGAAATCTCGTATGACAGGACTAAGCTCAAAGAGGAAGTACCAAAAAGAAGAAGACGAAGCGAGAGAGCGAGAGAAGTACCTTGATCATCTCTTCGTGAATGCCAACGTGAGCGTATGAGTGAAAGTACGCTACGTCGAAGTCAGTCGGCGGAGGCGGAGGCGGCGGAGATTTTTGGTCTTCGAACTGGTCGCAAACCCTATGAGCACTAGAGAAGCCATGGCCCCCGCCGCCACCGGAGTAACGAGCTCCGTTGCGGCTGCGACGCCGGGAATGGCCATAAGAACCCAGGCCATCACACTTCTCTCCCCAATGCTCCTGATGTTGATGATGGAAACCATTACTGTAACCATCGCCTGATTGCATTCTTCTGCTTCACCCACACCAAGGAGACGACTGTGCGTGAACGAACTTCGTTCTTCTTCTTTTGCCTTTTTTTTTTTAATTTATTCTTGACGAAGAAAGGGTTTCAAAAATAGAGCGATCATTTCACTTGTGTATAAAATCGATTTGTACGGAAACGAATGAAATATCATAATATTAAAATCAAATGATTCCATCTAGTAACTAATTGAGGATATTTTGTTAAATTAAATCAATCCACGATTAATTTAATTTGCAAATTAGGGTTTTGAATGATGTGAATATCTACAATTGTTAGTGTTACCCTTTCAACCATTCTATAAAACAATGCATTATCAAACATTCCCAATGAATATGAAAGCGACACATTCCATAAAACAATGCTTTGTAAATTTGCAAATTTCAGTCCGAATCTCGAAACCCGATTCGAAAAATAGCGGAATTCGAGTCTAAATATATCGACCCAAAAAAAATTTGGCTTTCGGGTGGTAATTTTTTTCAAAAAAAATAATAAAAAATATTTTTACAAAGAACAGTTTGGACATATCGGTTCGGTCCGGTCCGAATCTGAGTCCGCAGTCTATAGAGGCAAAATTTGGACTTAATTATTTTGGTCCCAAAAAAATCGGATTAACCCGAATCCGAAACTTGACCGGATCGGGTGACGGTCCCTAGTTACATTAGACTCTCGGCTATTGGCTTTACTACAAAAGTCATTCCAAATTTTGTTTGTGATGCATATTTTATCAAAGTTATTGCCTCTTGAAAACATTTAGTTTTTTTTTGTGAAAAAGTAGAATGTAAATATGATGAATCACAAAGATTCCAAGTTTGTTCTCACAACTTAATGTGATAGAATATATATATATATATATATATATATTCTATAAATGTGTTGGTTATTACTCCGTTTCAAAATAATTGTTGTTTTAGATTATTTCACATTTTTTAATAAAAGATAGAAAAAGTCACATATACCCTTATTTAATATCTTTATTTAATGATAAAACAATATTATCATCAATAATTTATTGAAATTTAATAGGGATAAAATTGGAAATTATTGTAAAAAAATGTCTTGAAAATGTAGAATGACAAATATTTTAAAACATGAAAAATAACCTAAAACAGTACAAATTGCAAGCTTAACGAATTTGCTGAAATCGAATTTTTCTTTTATGGCTCTTAACGGACATTTAACGTTGGTAGTTGGATACATTAAAAGTTGCTCGAAGACTTGGACTTATCTTGTAACATCAAGCGAAGACCATTAAATGCCCCATAGTTTGAAGAAGTCCCGGCAAATTTATTTTATTATTTTTTTTAAGACAAATTAAAATTGGCGAATTTGTAGAGCTTTCACCAAAAATAAAATGTTTTAATAAATTGATTAAATATATTATCCTCCTACTGATTTTGCCCATTAAATTCCACTCCTTAAAAACATACTTCAATTCGGACACAACACTTGTTGGATATCACAGTTTGAAGAAGTCATGTACATATATCATAAATAATTATTATTTTAAAAAAATGAAAAATCGTATGTCAGTGCTATATAAAAGGCTGCCGGCACCAACGCAATGAACATACAGACCAAGAAGAAACCATTGGAGAGAGAGAGAGAGAGAGAGAGAGAGAGATGATGATGATGATGGGTTTAAGCTATAACAAGCCATTCTATGTTCTCTATGTTCCACTCATCATGATCATGGTCATGGTTATGATGATGTCTCCTTCGGTGGCATCTGCTTCACTTTCCGAAGCGGATGCTCTTCTGAAATGGAAGTCCACTTTTGCCGACCGCCCTTCTTTGCTGTCTTCGTGGACCAACAGGAGCACCGGCAGTCTCTGCACCAACTGGTTCGGTGTTTCCTGCGACATCCGAGGCAGCAGTATCATAAGGTTGAACCTCTCTTACACCGCCATTGAAGGTACCCTCCAAGATTTCCCCTTCTCTTCTCTTCCAAATCTCGCTTTCCTTGATTTCTACAAGAGCCGTCTCTCCGGAACCATACCTCCTGAATTCGGACAGCTTTCTAAACTCGTCTACCTTGATCTGTCCGTTAACCAGTTGTCGGGAGGGATCCCACCCGAGCTGTGTCTGTTGCGAAATCTCGAAACCCTTTATCTCTCCGAAAACAACTTAAACGGCTCGATCCCTCCCGCCATCGGTCTCTTGACTTCGCTTCAAGAGCTCGGCTTGTACAAAAACTCGTTTACAGGACCCGTACCGTCTTCCATAGGAAACCTGACCGACTTGGTCAAGTTGTATCTCTACAGTAATTTTCTCAACGGTCCAATTCCTTTTGAAACCGGTTCACTGACTTCACTTCAAAACCTAGACTTGTCTGAAAACTCTCTATCCGGAGCCATACCATCGTCAATAGGGAACCTAACCAAGTTAGTTGTGTTGCAACTTTTTACTAATGCTCTCTCTGGACCTATCCCTCCGGCCATCGGTCTCCTAACTTCGCTTCAAAAGCTCATCTTATACGAAAACTTACTCACAGGGCATATACCCCCTTCAATAGAAAACCTGACCAATCTGGTCGAGTTGCTCCTCTATAATAATTCTCTTACCGGTTCAATCCCTTCCGAAATAGGTTTCTTGACTTCACTCCAAGAACTCAGCCTATCCATGAACTCACTCACCGGACCTATACCCGGTTCAATAGGAAATCTAACCGATTTGGTCGCTTTGTCCCTCTATAACAATTCCTTCACTGGTCCAATCCCTCCCGAGATCGGGTTCTTAACTTCACTCCAAGACCTTGGCTTACACAACAACTCACTCACAGGACCTATGCCCTCTTCAATAGGAAACCTAATTAATCTGACCACATTAGACCTCTACAACAATTCTCTCACCGGTCCAATCCCTCCCGAGATATGTTTCATGAGTTCGTTGCAAGAGCTCGCCTTGCATCGCAACTCACTCACAGGACATATACCCTCTTGTATAGGGAATCTAACCGATATGGTCTTCTTCTATCTCCATAGTAATTCTCTCACGGGTCCAATCCCTCCAGAAATTGGTTCACTTACAATGCTTCAAGTACTAGACTTCTCTAGCAACTCCCTTGCTAGAAATATACCGTCTTCAATAGGAAACCTGACCAGTTTGGGTTATCTGGGTCTTTCTACCAATTCTCTTACCGGTTCTGTCCCTCATGAGATGGGTTTTCTAACTTCGATCCGAACACTAGGCTTGTCCCACAACTCGCTAAGCGGAACCATACCATCTTCGTTCAGAAACTTTACCAAGTTAGAGCTGTTGTACCTTAGTGACAATCGATTCTCGGGTTCGATCCCTCCAGAGATCACAAATTCTTTGGAGCTAAATCGCTTGGACCTCAGCTACAACAACTTCACCGGTTTCTTGCCGGGAAACATCTGTAATGGCGTTAAGCTTACGTATCTCTTATTGGTTGATACTCATCTGAGGGGTGTTATCCCTGAAAGCTTGAAGAATTGCAAGAGCTTGGTTAGAGTAAGACTCGACGGAAACGATTTCGTTGGAGATTTATCTGATAGCTTCGGGGTCTATCCCGATCTTTATTATATCGACCTCAGCCACAACAAGTTTCATGGTGAGATTTCAACCAAGTGGAAGGAGAGCCGAAAGCTGAATGCTTTTATCGTCTCTGATAACAAAATCACAGGTGTAATAGCCTATGGAGTTTGGAACATGAAGAGCCTTCAACAACTTGATCTATCTTCAAATGATATCTCAGATGAACTTCCAGAAACCATTGGAAATCTCATCCATCTGTCGAGGATGAACCTAAGTGGGAATCGGTTATATGGAAGAATCCCTCCAGGAATTGGATCTTTGACCGAACTTGAGTATCTCGACTTATCCTCAAATAGGTTCAGATTCCGCATTCCCGAGACCATCGGTAACTTATATAAGGTTCACTACATGAACTTGAGCCGAAACGACTTAGATGAGGGCATCCCGATCGAGATATCGAAGCTTGCTCAGTTATCAACGCTTGATCTTAGCCAAAATCAACTCGATGGCGAAATCCCGCCACAGATAAGCCTTATATCGACCCTCGACACACTTGACCTCTCATACAACAATCTCTCGGGTCTCATCCCAACAAGTTTCAAGGAAATGCATGCTCTAAAAGTTATCAAAGTATCACACAATAACCTCGAAGGTCCAATTCCGGATATCTTTGCATTTCGAAATGCTAATGCAGATGCGTTAGAGGGTAACAAAGGGTTGTGTTGTAATTTCAAAAAGGGATTCAAGCCATGTCCCATCGCTTCCTTGGGAAGAAAGGAATCTTCGGAAAAGGAGAAATCTTTGATCTTTTTGGTGTTATTCCCGATCCTCGGAGTAATTGTAGTTCTTTTCATGTGTGGTGGAACTCTAATCTGCATCCGAAGAAGAAAATTTCAAACCAATGGAAACACGGATTCTGAGGTTGGGTTACAATTTTTTGCACCAAACTTTGATGGAAAGCTGGCATTCCGAGAAATCATCGATTCCACTGAGGATTTCGATAACAAATATCTCATCGGACGAGGAAGATGTGGAAGTGTTTACATGGCAAGGCTTCCGGGTTTGATCTTGGCCGTGAAAAAGCTCCACGAGACAACGACCGACGGTGAGAGATCGGTCCTTGAAATGCAAGATGAGTTCTTGAACGAGATAAGGACATTGACAGAAATCCGCCATCGGAACATTGTGAAGCTCTTCGGCTTTTGCACACACATTTGCCACTCTTTC